TATTTGATATCAAAATTAGGTCTTATATGTTTTATACTTCAAAAGAACAATGCTTTTATAGAATGAAACTTATGGCAGCTTCGAAGCAAGAAAAGATTAAAAAAAAAAGATATTGATCTAATTAAGATTGATATGTAACAAAACTTTTTCGTAATACTTAAGCAAAATAAGCTTGTGAAATTTTTTTTTTTTCATTACTAATTATCTGATTTTTTTTTCTACTTTCTTGTAGATATTTATAAAAATTGCTAATCATTGTTCGAACATTTGATCGACCTTAGAAATTAATTTTCTTTTCAAAAGTCAAACCTGTCACATTAGTATTGACGAACAAATTTTCCTTTGTATGTATTATTTTAAATTTAAATTTTATATTAATATATTTCGTATTTCGTTTTAGATTTTTACCCATCTATAATTTTTTTTTGCAAAGATCGATTTAGAAATCAAAAATTAAATTGAAACAAACAAATCTGATTTTTTTTTCAAATTTATTTAGAAAAAAAAACATAAGAATATCAAATAATATGACAATGACAGCGTCAGCCACTTTAAAAACAGTATCAATAACAACTGAAAATAATTATATTAATAGTATAAATAGTAACAAACGTAAAAATCAAGAAAATATAATTTCATCAATAACAAATAAATCGGTAGAGCGTCGTAATTCAAGTTCCGATGACCTGTTAATAAAATCAGCAAATAAAATAGATGATAGTTTTAATGGAAATCTACCAAAATTTCGTATACCTAAAATAACGAGGTAGGTTTTTTGAGGCAAATATTCGTATATATTTGATATTATCGATCGATAAAGTCTATGTTAACTTTCATTGTATTTTATAGAACTTCTCGTAAATAATATTTGTGCATTATTTTTTTTTTTCTTAGATCGTACAGATTATTTTTTTGAGGATTCAAAGATTAGATCGTATTGATATATTTTAATCTAGTCAGTATAATAATAAATCAATAATAGATTTTTTACTAGATAAATAAAATTTTTTTCTCTTATTATTGTTTTTCTAATCGAATAAATTTCTATCAATAAAACATGATCAAGATATTATTTATTAGATATATAAAATAAGAAAGATTCGATATATTTAATATCAATAATATATTTTAACCTGTGTTTATCATAGACTTTGTTGGTCGATATGTTTTTGTTTTTTATTTGGTTTCGATATTTATTTTATTATATTTCAGGTCAAACAATAGTATACTATCAGCAGATGCTAATCAATTATCTTCAATAGAAATGAAAATAAAAACCAATACGTGTCCTTCATCACCAATATCAAATACAAAAACAAATTCTTTACCAACTAATAAACCGAATGATAAATTTGACTTTTCACAGGGAAAAAGAAAACTTTCTTTAAGTCAATATCAAGAACACAAACGATTAAAATTGAATGACATTGAAGAAAATTTTTCAGCTGATGTTGATATGCGAATACATACAATGGATAATATTAAGGTAAGAATAATAAAAAAGTTTTTTTTTAAAAATAGGAACAAAAAAAAAGTTTAAATGTTATCATATTAATAAAATATGATGCATCATTGAATTTGATCATTTTTGTAATATGATATTAAGACAATTATCTAATAGTACTATGTTGAATCCAATTTTCATTTATATATGCAATGTAATTTTTGTAGACTAATGTAGAAAAAAAAAATTGAATTTATACTCAAAACAAAACATTTAAAAAAAAATAATTCAACAGAACGAAAAAATTTATAAAAAAAAAACCTTTAGAGTCGATTAAAATTTAATATTATTATTTGTTGCAAGTATTTCTGAAATGATTGCATCGATCCTCTGAACGAAGATATTCAACTATTGAACATTGTTTGACTAATAGTAGTTTACCGTAGGAAGACATAGTAATCGAGTCTATTTGGAAGTGGAATAACTCAAGTGAGACATGTTTGTTTTCATTGAAAATTTTAGAACTATTTAGTGACGATCATTTTATTAAAAATAATCATTATTCTTTATCAATAGATCATGAATCTAAATTTTATTGAGCTTTCTTTAGTCGTAGCTATAATAAAGAAGTCGAATAGCATTCAACAGTTGAATATATTTCCTCATTAGAATATATCAGCTCGATTATATATTATCAACATACGAGAAAGGAGGAAAATATGAGGACATCGAATTAAATTTACTTCTGATTGCTGAATTTATAGTCTTCATGACAATAAATGTCATACGGAAAAATTTACTAGAAATAAATCATAAATTATTTTCTAAATTATAGCCAGTCTGTCGTTTTTTTTTGCTTTCAATCCATCTTATATATAGATTAAAGATATACTATATTGAAATTATACATAATTGACACATTGTATTTATTTTTCTAGAATTCACCACCGACAGCTATGGATGAAGACTCTACAATTATATCAGAAAATCAATCAGTAGTTAGTCCAAAAATAGATAATATTGGTAAAGGTATGATCTTATTCATTAATGTTGAAAATCTATTATTATTTATTGTTTTTCTAGATAGAATTATTAAAAGTAATCTGAGTCAACCAGGACTAAAAAAATTAATAAAAAAAAAACTCATTTGGGCAGATGAAAAAAATCAAGCTCTTGTACAGACATCATTTTTTGAAATAGATGATTCAGAATTAGCAGATATGCATGCATTTGCACGTCAATGTGCAACAAATCTATCTATAGCACAAGTTGAAAAATTATGGGAACATGATCTTCGTAAACAACAAAGTTTAGAAAAGATAAATTCATCTGATAATGATGATAAACAAAATTTAGTTTCATGGCCAAGTTTAATACGTATTTTATTGCCTGATACAATAGTTAAATCACAGAAACGTCTTGAACAAGAAAAACGTGAAAAAAATGTTTTAAAAACATTTTTATCTGATAGACAAGGTGAATTAAACGGTGATCTTCTTGGAAATAGTACTAATGAACCAAAATTAATTCCACTTGATAATGTAAGAATAAAAATAAATAATAATCATAGTAATAAAATATGTCAAAATATATTAAATGAAATAATAAAAACAAGAAAATTATTTTTAGTCTTTATAAGAAATACGAAGAATATTTCAAATATTTGTATATTGATTTTATTTTATCATAAAAATAAAAAAGCTTATCGATTTTTAGTTTATGGCATATATCATAAAATTCTCGATGGTTTGAAAGATTTATATATATATATTAATCATAAGAATTATTTTGAAATCTATTTATATTAAAGATTAAAATCGTAAACATCATTCAATACTAAGCATATTAATATTCGAATGTTAATTATAAATACTCTATCGATATGAACAATCATTATAACTACATGACAAATAATTTTTAAGTAAAACGATGCTTAAATTTTCGAGTTTTTACTAAAGATCTAAAGATCATATCGCTGTTTTGAACATATATATATATTTCTTTTCAGAAAGAGTTTTTGATGCACGGCATGATTCTCTCGTAGCCCGTTAATTTAAACAAAATTTTTGTGCAAACACAAAATGAATAAATTTTAATATGAGAATATTAAACCTTTTCCTTCTTTCACAAATGATATTCTTCATCTTCTATATACTTACAATACTGTTCTTAGAACTTTTTTTTTTACAACATCAGAATAATTCTATATCGAATCCAACATAATTTCGAAAGCTTTTTCTTCTTCAACAAAAAAACAAATATTTGGATTATTTTTTAAAAATTTTCTCGTCTAACAGATTTCACTGAAAATATTTTGACATTTTTTTTTTAAAGATTTTTAATATATTTATATGTATATGTTTAGAATAATACATTGTCTGTGTCAAATGAAGTATCGTCTTTAAATAATAATAATTCAACTTCAACAAATATATCTTTAGCTTCAACTAATCCAATATCATCTGTTTCATCATCATCCGATATTATATCACCTGAAGTTGCTCGAATTCTTGCACAAGCAAAAGAAAATTCAGCATCTGTAACTGCCAATAATCTTTCATCAATACCAGTGAATACAGAAAATAATCCATCGACTACTATAACATCAACAAATCCACCTTTAGCATCTATACAAAATTTTCTTTCTTCTTTACTCAATATTCCACAACAGAATGAAATAAATACAACAAGTAGTAAGACAACATTTTTTAATTTTTACTAGAAAATTTAAATAATTTCTTACTTTTTTTTTTTTTTTTTTAAGTATCATCAACAAATTCAACAGCTAATATTGTGTCAAATACTCCAGTTAATGTCAATTTAACAATTCCTACAAATTTTGCTTTAAATCAATTATTAGCAAATGTTTTTCCTTTTAGTACAACATCAACAACTTACAGTAAGTATACTTCTATTTAGCAACTAATTATTCAATAGATTTAATATTTTCTAGATAATTCAATTATTCAACCATCATCGGCTATATTTAATACATCACCATCAATACCAATTACAACAACAATAAATTCTACTAATAATTCAGCTATAAAATCATCAATAGTTCCTATTCTTTCTAATCTCGATCATCAATCATCAAGATTTAACAATAACAATGAACGACAAAATAATAATTTTTATCAGAATAATCGAGGACATAATTATCGACGAGGATTACATAATAATAATCGTCATAATTATTATCATAATCGAAATAATAATAATTATAATAATAATAATCAACGAAATATATTTCCCTTAAAATAGACATATTCTGTTATAAAATTTTAGATTAGCCAGATGAGTTGTATTTATATAAACTTTATTTGCTTGATTTTTATTTTTGCGTTTATAAAACTTGTCGTTATCAAACTTGTATATGTAATTTTCTTTGTTTTTTTTTTCTTTTGTCTATCTCATACAACATCTGAAATAACTCTTTCAATGATTATAAGAAAAATATACGTAGAGAGAAAGAAAGATTAACAAAATTTAAATATACTTATTTAATTTCTTTTCTTTTTATTATAGATAAATATCTATTTATTATTCAAATAAAATGTCGCGGTATGTTATTTAAAAAAAAGAACACGATAATTGTTCTTATTATTATTATTATTTCATTAGATATATGCAAGTCTTGGCATGTCGATTTCATCCAACCTCTGAACTTATTGAAGATTATAGAGCAGGCGATATGATCTGTTCACAATGTGGCCTTGTTGTAGGCGAACGGTATAATTTTTAGAGATTTTATACTATTGAGGGATTATGAAGATTGAGAAGAGACTGAGAAAAAAAAAAGCTACATACTCTTTTTATCCTTCGAAATTCAACTTTTTAAACTAAAAATAGAACTTGATAAGAATAGAAAAAAATTATGAAACGATGAAAGTCGATAGATCGTTCTGTCTGTAACATTTAGAATATCTCGAGTGTTGTTTACCAATATATGAACAGTGATTAAGGTGAAAATAGATCGAACTATCAATATATTAACCATAAGTCAAACAGCTAGATGTCCAAATCCTACCCCGTAGAGTAAGGATAAGCATTACACCTCTATCGTGGTACTATCTGACTATTTATCACTTTGACTCTTCTAACTGGAGTAGTATAAAAGGAAAATGAGATAGAAACTCTGTAGGATAAAGTATGAATAGAGTTTCTATAGGATATGATAGGGTAAAAGTTCGAAATTTTTTTTATATCTATCAGAAAGAATAAGTTCTATATTTTAATTATAAGTGAATCGATTGATGATTGTTAAATTTTAAAAGTCGACCTAATGCGATATTATCTATTGAGAGAAACATGAAGAAATTTTGTTTCACTTTATTGTCATGTTTAATAATTTTAACGATATCTGAACAATGAGATATTAACATAATCTTTTCAGTTGTCTCTTTTACTTAACTTTGACATAAAGTTTTTCTTTTTTTCTATTATAATATTTTCATATTTTTAGAATGATCGATGTCAGTTCTGAATGGCGTGATTTTGGAGATGAATCAAACTCAAAAGATCGAAGCCGTGTTGGTAGTGCTCAAAGTCTACTATATGATTATGATAATTTTCTAACTACGATATCAATTGGAACAAGTGCAGGAGCACGTAATGAATTAGGAAAACAAAAATATAGACAAATGACAAGTCAAGTAATATTTCTTTTTCTAAATAAAAAAGAAAAAGAAATTCTTTACATTGACTTATTATACAGACATCATCTGCCGATAAAGCATTACGAAATGGTCATGATGCTATTCGAGCTATGGCTGCACATATTCATTTAACAAAGAAAATTATTGATCGAGCATTTCTAATATATAAACATTGCTATGAAAAAAAATGTTTACGTGGCTATTCACCAGAAGCAATTATTGCTTCATGTATTTATAGCGCTTGTCGACAAGAAGGTTCACCACGTACAATGAAAGGTTAGTAAGATTTATTTATTTAATATAATGAATACAATAGTATTTTTTTTTTTTTATTTTCATAATCTTAATAGAAATATGTGGTGTTGCAAAGATATCCGTAAAAGATCTTGGTCGGTGTTTTAATAAAATCAAACTGTCTTTACCAGATTCATCTGTAATTCAATCCATTGATATCAAAGATTTGGTGGTATGTTATTTTTTGTATATCATTTATTTTTATTAGGTTTTTTTTTCTTCTTCTAAAAAGCCTCGTTTTTGTAATCAACTTGAACTTAAACAAGAAATACTTATACGAAAAACAGCTATGCATATTGTTGAACGTGCAAATGAAATTTGTGATATTCAAGGTCGTGCACCAAGTTCTGTGGCGAGTGCAGCAATTTATATGGCTTGTCTAGCTGCATGTGAAAAGATAACAAAAGAAGGTTAGAAAAATATTATTTTGATTAAAGAAAAAATTATGAAAAATTTATTGTTTCTTCTTGTTTTTAGATATTCAAAAACCAACCGGTGTTTCCGAAGGTGTAATACGAGATGTATATAGACTTATGTTACCTCAGGCTGCTAAATTATTTCCAACTGATTTTGTATTTAAATGTTCAATCGTTAATTTACCAATGCTTTAAGAATGAATATTTGTTTCTTCTTTTTTTTTTGTACAATCTCGATTATTTATAAATTTTTATATGTTTTCATTTTTTTTTTTTTTATAGTAATGATAATCATGAAAAGAGATATGTTTTAAACAAAATTTGTAAATATCCAATTTAGATCAATAAAAAATATGAACAATAGAATATTATGAAAAATAGTTTATCAATAAAATAAATCAAATAATGATTAGCATGAGTTTCATTTTTATAAATAGTTGATCAAAATAATTAATGCATAGATACAGTTTCAGACATCGATTTGCATATTTTGCAGAAAAATTTTAATTAAACTTATTAAATTTTCTGTTTGTGTATTCGTTCTTATTCGAAACAACAATTTGAATTCAATTGATTGAAATATGATTATGTTACGAACTAAATATTATTTTCATTATGTGACTAGTATATCTCTTGAATACATTAGAATCTTTTTCTCGATTTAGAAATTCTCAGTAGACGATAGAAGAATTTTTCGAGGCACAAAAAAAGTGATTATTTCTTTGTATTGTATGAAATAAATCTGTAAGTCTTATAGTAAATAAAATGAGTTATGAATACTTTGAAATGAGATTGTGTCTTGAATTTATTTCTGCTGAGATACTACATTTTTATGTTTTCTTAAGTGTATACAGTAGCATCTTCAGTTGAGTTCCATGTGATATTTTAGAGAATGAATCGAATCCGTCAAATTCTATCTCTCAGAAATATAGCGAAAAATTTGTTTTCGAAATTTGATTTGAAAATATGCACAAAGATAGAACTTGACAAGAATAATTTATTTTTAAAGTTTCAAATATTTTTATGCGCTTTTTTTCTTGAAATAAGTGCATCAACTCTGCTAGTAAATCTGAGCAATGTAAAATACAAGTTTTTATCATAGTAATATTTTAGGAAAGGAACAATGAAAATGTCACAAAATTTCACAATAAAATAGTTTCCGTAAGTCTAGTCTCTATGGAATAGTTTCAAGTCGAAATGCGCAAACCAGCTTTCTTAGTGCTTCTAAAGGAGATCATGGTAGTAATGAAAAAACAACCATAAACAGCCAGTGTCTCAACAATTATAATATAAGAATTCGAACTCTTTTCACTGTATTCATAGCTCATTAGAGTCTACATAAAGCACATGGGTTCAACTCAAAAACGATTGATCAGTGAGGAGATTTCCCTCATAAGATGAATCTTTGATTAAATTTTAAAGCTAAATATAATTGAAATCTTGACGATCCTCGTCAATAAGAATTTCTAATGAGATAATCTAATTTCAGTTATTTCAAAATCATTTCTGACGATTATTATTTTTTTTTTATCAAATTTTGAAAAAAATCACAGAAATGTCAAAATCAAGCGACTATAGTAATAGATTATATAGTGAATATAATCAAACATTAGAAAAATATAGTGATCGACTTTTCAATTTTCAACGCTAATTGAACAACACATTCAATGAAATAATTAGCATTTCATCAAGATAAAAAACCAAACACAAAACAAGATATTTTCTTATTTCTTCAATAGATATGAAGTTTCTATTGAACCAAATGTAAATTCAATTGAATTCGATCTGTTTCGTTTATTAACAGATATATTAAAACCTTACTTAAGTAAACGCACTTTGACTCTGAATGTAAACACATTATTTTGGATCTATCTGTATATATTGACTTTGTCAATATGAACATCAGTAGACGATATCACTTGAATAAATTATATGATTGAAGCTGTAGAGAAGGTTCTACAAAAAGTAAACTAGCTCGTTAATTTAAATCAGTGAAAGCGAGAAAAAAGAAAACAATGGACAAATAGACAATCCTGTCTTTTTGAATAATCTCTCAAAGTTTGTCTATAAGATATAATATTTCACAATGCTCTTGATTTAGAGCAAACAATGAATTTGACCAAAGGCAAAGAACATAATTCATCTCATCGTGAGTAAAAAGAGAAATTTCAAGTGTTCATCAGTATTCTGTTAAATATTCTTAAAAAAACAATGAATATATTACTGATTATAAAACTAATCTAAATAAAATGGTGAATCATTACTTTAGTTAAATCATCAATGATAGTGTTTAAACATGATTAGATAGGATCTCGACTCGATGTTTACCCTCTGTCTAATTAAAAAATTTTGATTACTAAAAGTCAAAAACTATTTAATAAAATGTACTGAAGAGAAGATAGAAAGTAATAAAACTGATATTTTGATTTATATTTCCCATCCTTTTATTACCATTCTGTTATACTGAACGGTTTCTTTCAGTTCCAAAGATGTTCATAATGTAAAGGTTTTACTATGTGTGTTGGATTCATATTTATAGTGTCGTATACATGTTGACAATTAATACAACCTACACAAGTTGTTTATTAAGTTTAGTAATTATTGAAAAGTTAAATTTATCATGTACTTATCATGGTATTCAAAACAGAATGTAATTAAGTAACGTACTTTAAGAATTATTCAGAAAATTAAAGATTAATGTAAACAGTATTTTGTTTTTTGGTAGTAAAAACTGCCTGTAGGTATGTTTCAAGTGTTTGTCTAAAGAAAATGAAAAAGAGATGATGAAGAATAACAATGCTCTTTGTTCTCGTTAGGTAAATATTTGCTGTTCATGTGTCGATAAGTTGCTAGACTAGTTAAGTGAGAGAAAAAAAGAAAAAGAAAGTTCTTTTATGTAAATTATATATATATGTTCAATGTTTATTAAAAAAAATTAGATTGAGTAATATTTTCAAATTGTTTTTTTTTGTTTTGTTTAACATACAAAAAGTTTTATGTGAAGTATTTATTTAAATTTCAAATATGTTTTTTATTTTTTTTTTGTTGTTTCTATTTACATTAATTGAACACAGACAAAGAGAACAGGTTTTTTTTTTGCTACACGAAAACAAGAGAATATAAATAATTACAAAAGTTCTGATACTGAACTTCGTCGTTGTCGTGAAAAAAAATTTCTCCATGATATCATTGTTTTACCATTTAAAACCCAACCTGATGATATTATACCAATAGCTAACATACATGTATATTTAATCATAAATAATTCATAACGTGGTCGAATTTTATTATTTTCATTTAATTGACAATTAATAGAATATAAACAAAAATTTTCTTCATGTTTCCATGTTTGTAACCAATTTAAATAATTATTTTGTTCATAAAATAAACATATTATTAATATTAATTGTGGTATTATATAAACAACACTAAATGTTCCAATACGTACCATAAAACGTTCAAGTTTATCAGTTTTTGTACCTTCATGTTTCATAACTGTACGAATTTTAAATACAGATATAAAACCAGTTAAAAGAAGACATAAACCAACAAATAAAAATATACATATTGGTACAAGAATAAAACCACGTTGAACATTTATTTCTGTTAAACCCGTATAACAAATACCTGTTAAATAATCACCATCAATTGAACCTTTACTTATTAATGCAGTACTTAAACAAGCTGGTATACCCCATGATGCTAAATGAAAATAAACTGATTGTGATTCAATTGCTTCATGTCCCCATTTTAAACCAGCTGCTAAAAACCATGTTAATGTTAATATAACCCACCATATCATTGATGCCATACCAAAATAATAAATAAGTAAAAATGTTAATACACATAATTTATTATGTGTACCTTGTACAAGAAATCTTGTTTGACCTGTATAAGATAAATCTTCTGTATTACATACTATATTTGAACCATAAAAATAATCAACAAAACCACCAACATATGCACATGCTAAAATAAAATAACATATTGATAAATATAATATTGGTCGTTCAGGATAACGATAACGTAATAAATCAATTGAATATGTCATTATTGTAAATAATGTTGATAATAAACATAATATTGCTAATATACCAACATAATGACGAACATAATAAACTTGTTCAGTTGTAAATAAACTACGATTACATGGCATAGCACAATTTGTACCATGATCTAATTTATATTTTAAATCAGGATAATTTGTACGATATTGATATGAACATGCATTATTTGAATAATCAAATACATCTGAATCATCATCATATTTTGCTAATATTATTTGTTGTTTATGATCTTTAGGTGCTTCAAAACATGGTTGTTCAATAGGATATTCTGTACAACGAAGATGTGGTGGCCATTTATAACCAAAAGTATTCATTATAGGTTCACAACCACGACGAGCTTCTTCACATAAATGTCGACATGGTTTAACAGCACTTACTAAAAACAAAATACTTGAAAATAGATACAAAAAATTTCTTTCTTAGATTTCAGTTTTAATCATGAAAACAAAAAAAAGTTCAATTTTTTTTTTCTGTCGGACAGATACTAATGTAAAAAAAAATATTTTTAAGATTATTACTAATCAATATTGATTTTAATACTTATACCGTGTTCGCTATAGTATTGAAGCATAAAGTCTGAAAATATATTCTTATTGTAGTGATGTATTCCAATCAAGGAATAAAAAGGCAAAAATTCAGTACTTCAAAATATCGATTCATATTCATAATCCTATTGATTGAATTCTTAGGATGAAAATGTTAGTTTTGGTTTGTTTTTTTTTATATAATAATGATAAAATTAAAATTATGATTGAGAATGAAATCTTACTTGTTGGTAATGATGAACATATTGGTGTATAAACACTACATAGAAAATATTTGATAGATTTCGAACAATTTCTATTAAATAATGGAACATAAGATGCTAATTCATAATCAGCGTCTATAAAAAAAGAATAACAGAATTTGAGGTTTTCTTTTTCTAAAAAATTTTACCTTCTGCTCGATGATGTCCAACAAGATTAGGAAAAATTGTCATATTCCATGGCATTGATGCACATGTACGTGTATTACTTATTTCAACACATTGTTCAAGTATATTATTACTTGATGGTATACCCATAGGTAAATTCGAAAATAAATCATGTGATTGACTACTGACAAATGTAATTAATAATAAAAAGATATTGACACTCATCATTATATTCTAAAAATAGTAAAACAAAATAAAGAATGTATACATATACATATATATATATGTTTGATATGTTCTATATGAAAGTTGATTATAATTGTTGTTATTCTACGAGATATCCACTTTTTCTTTCTTTGTACACAACATCTAACTCAGACAGAACAGAAGGGCAAACTAAAAAAAACAGCCCGTCAGTATAGCTCGTGTGTCCTGTCTATTTTTCTCTCTATCGAACGTCGAACAGTTATGCATATATATATATATACATATATGTATGCATGTGTTCGAATCAAGCATATACTGACAAAGGGCAGATGATGAAGATGATGGTGGTAATGGTAGTAGTCAATCGATTGGATGAATGTTGTCGATATACTATGAGAGAGAAAAGATGAAGAACGAAAAGAATACAATGATGATGATGATGAGAAAAAGAAAATGTAAGATAGATGGATTTTTGAGTGATGAAAGGTCACAATACATTAAAAAAGTTACCTATATTAATCGATTAGCAAATAAAAATTAATGACCAATTTAGTTTTTCATGCTTTCAAATTATTGAACGATGAACGAATTTATGTCTGTTCATTTTTGTTGAGTTATATTGTTAATAGAAAAATGAATAGTTATAAATTGTATTGATTGAACAAAATAGAAATCAGACTTGATAATAATTTTCGTTGATAAATATCAAATTTACAATGTTTGATTGACAAATCAGAGTCAAACAACTGACAGAGATGTCCCGATGTCACTAAAGTTGGTAGAATAACGCCTATCGAACAGATCGGGTTCATGACATATGGGTGGGGTCGACCCTTGTTACAATCATTGATGAAGAAAATCGATCAATAACATTGGGAAATCATAAGAATTTTCTAAGATTAGCCAAATCATTCTCTGTTCATGATACACTAGATAATAGATTTTTTTTAATATGTTAATTAATTTGACTTGTTCGTATGTTTTCGAATTTCATTTTCGATTCATTGATCACCTACATGTAAAAGATAATATCATTCGTTATTGACAACTTATCAAATGAAATTCATGATAGTAGTGTAATCAGAAAACCATATGTGATAGGGCAGTATCTTATGACCTTCGAGGAACTCGATGCCATATAGTGTCAATGATGGCAATTATTAAGGTTTTCTTTCTATTGATGTTAGGGCAGCAACTGGTCTAGCTCATCCATGGTTATGTCACTAATTCAAGAGTGAACAAAATTTCACATTAAACACTATTGTATATATATGTATAAGATAGATGTTGGTAGAAAATGCTTCAATATAAACATTTATTAATTTGATAAACAACTATATTTCGTGAAAAAATGACGTTAGAATAAATAAATGTTCTTCTATTGAATTGTAATGGAAACCGTATTCAATATAGACCCACAGCAGCTAATATTGAGGGTTATCATCATTTTTTGTCAACAGCTAATATCTTTCTTCTAACAGAATACAAAGAGAGAATTTCAACTTTGTTAAGTAAACATAAAAATTTTCCATATATATATGAGAGTTTGTATATTTTTCGGTGTAACTATTTTCACTGATCATATTATTATATTCAAAGAAAAACGAATGTTTCAATTGAAGAACAACCATTCATATTATGTTTTTTCTTTTATCATTCAAACTTCTCAAAAGGAGATATATTCTTAACATAGTCGATATGGAATCCCGCTGATAATTTCGACATATCACAGAGAAAAAAATAACATTGTCATCGATCTGTGAAAATTATCATTATAGCTATGTTTATTCCAATGTTATCTTTTTTGTCTAGTTATAAAATCATATATATATGAGAAGAGCATTATATAGATAAGAAGTAATTCTAATATTTCATCTAATGTTTATTTTGACGATAAATTTATTGATATTCTGAAAAACGATAAAAGTATGAAATTATTCTTGAACACATAATCGAAAAAGTTGAAGAAATTTTTCTTTATTAATATTTGTAATAATTTCAACATTAGATTCACGTTTAAAATGACCATACCAATCGGATATCATATGACCAGAAGCTAATTTTCCAAATGGTTCAACACATGCATAAACATGTTTTCTTTCTTCTATAATTGATTCATCTAATACACAAGCCATACAAACAGCATCACATGAATTTAATCCTGTATAAAGTTCAGGATTACTTTCTGATACTTTTGTAAAATCAATAAAAAATTGAGAAACATCAGCAAATAGACGAGCTTTTTGATTATTTAGATTTTCTTTTAATGAAAGCATTTCTTTATCAAGCATATCAAATGATATTGTTGCCATACATGTTAATTCAAATGTTATTATTCTTAATATTGTTTGAAATTCTTCAAGAACTCTTGAAGCAGCTAATGGATCACAAGCAAAATTAAATTCAATACCAACTAAAGAAAATAAAAATAAAAAAAAAAAGACTAGCTAGTTTAATAATAATTTATTTCTTTGATTTACTTGAAAGTGTATCATATCGTGGTACTGTACAATTTCCACCCATTATATAAAGATATTTTAAATTTTGACTAAATTCTGGATCAAGTCGATGTGCAAGAAATAAATTTGTTAATGGTCCTATAGCAGCTATAACAAGTTCACCACGATATTCTCGTGCTAAACGTACAAGAGCTACACCTGCTGGTTCATTACTTAATAAATCTAAATCAATTTGTTTATCTTTTGTTACATTACCAAAACCATCTTCACCATGAACATGTGGAGCATATTTTTGACGACCATCAAGTGCTCGATCAGCTCCACGAAAAACAGGAATATCTTTTCGATTAAATGTATGTAAAAGATAATGAATATTACGAATACCATTAACTAATGATGAATTTCCAGTGACAATACTTATACCAAGAATTTCGACATTTGGATATGATAGAGCCATCATTATTGCATGACAATCATCAATACCAGGATCGGTATCAATAACTAATTTTAATGAAGTTTTCGATGATGAAGACATGATGATTTGAAAGGTTTCTAAAAAAAAAAATTTCGAATTAAAAAATTATTTCTCTAAGTAAATTACACTTTGCTAACACTTTCTAATTAGTAATTTATTCAAAAGATATTTGTGCTAAAGGAATTCTAATGCTTGTTATTGAAAGTTTTCCCTATATATATATCAGAACTGTTCAGATTCAAATTACATACTAACCTTGTCTACTTCTATCAATACGATAAAAAAATATGAATATTTCATTAAACTTTCAAAAGTTTTCAAACAAGATGTTTATTTAGACTAGTGTTTTTCTAGATTCGAGTTTTATAGTGCATCCATATTTTATTGAATAACATATGAGTACACTATTAAGACTATTCTAATGATCTGTACAGTTTTCTAAACACTATGGTTCAATCACTTAATCTCTTTCTTGCATATCTCTTCAATAAAGATTTCTAAGACCAATTTTTTTCCGGTTTATCAAGCAATTTTTATATAATGTTCTCATTGTACCTTATTTATTAAGTGAATATAGATTATCACTGTTACATTCAGAGATGGATAAACTCTATTATGCTTCATTCCAAGTGTCATCGACATCATTTCACCAGCTAGTGGTGATTTTATGTTCTCAATCGATCTCATGCAGACCTCATGTATGTGTTACTCATTTTAACACATCTTCGTTCAATACGAACTCTTTCGATTTCGTGAAGATACAGTACCTTTTATCAAATTATAAGCATATCTGAAATATGAAGAAAAAAAATGGATCTCGACTAGAGATCTGCGTGACCAATTTGTCGTGACCAAAAAAAACAAAGATCATTCGATAATAGTTTCCATGGCGGACGTGAAAAAATAACTCTACTTAATATTTTGTGTTCAGAATTTTATGCTCTTTAAAATGACATAAAAAAGTCGAGGATATAATGATCCACGGCGGAGAAAACTGCAGCACATTCGTCGTGACCAGTTTTGGTCACGGCCAGTCACGATGTTTTCTGGTCATGACGAATGTGCTGCAGTTTTCTTCCGCTGTGGATCATTATATCCTCGACTTTTTTATGTCATTTTAAAGAGTATAAAATTCTGAACACATAATATCAAGTACAGTTATTTTTCCATATCCATCACAGAAACTATTATCGAATAATCTTTATTTTTTTTTGGTCACGACAAATTGGTCACGCAGATCTCTAATCTCGACTTACTTGCTTCTCAATGAGGATGATAGTCAACTGCAAAGAATCGTGGATTTCATAGAGAAATACTTTGATTTTTGTATGAATATGCTAGTAGTATCATATGTCTATGCTAAAAAGAAGGAACAATATTTGACTGAATAGAGACAAATCACCATTAAGGATAAATTAAAATGACACTATTTTTATTCGATTATACTCTGATTTTATTTCATGGATAATATTCTTTTGAAATGATACAAAAAAAGTACGAGTAGTGAATATAAATACGATCAAACTTTTTCGTTAGATTACCAAACCATTACATATTCGATCTTAGTTTATGGGCTCTGTTCTGTTCTGGAGACAAGGCAAAGCAAGGAAGCGTGAAAAATTGTCCTGGGGCAGTCTTTGATTGGTATAGGTTTGCAAAGAAAAAAAAAAGGAATGAAAGATTCTTTTCGATAAAGGTTTTCGTGAGAGAAGAAAATCGTCGGCTTCTAAATATGTGACAATTACTCTGTTCTTTTAAAAATATTGGTTTTTTTTTTCGTTTATAAACACTCGAACGCATAAAAAGTATACCTCTTTACAAGTCTATAGAAAGAAAAAACATATATATTATTCTATCGGAAAGTAAACACCAACTATTTTATTCACATTTCTTATTTATCTGGATCATTTTTCTCTTCATTTCACTGATAACGAACAACAAGTAACCATTAAAAAGTTTTTTTTTTTTTAAATTTATATTGTCCACGAGCGACATTTATATATGTGAAAATTGTATTGGTCACAACATGGTTTTTGATTTCTTCTCTTGAAACTGAACAACAGAACAGAAAAATATCTGTGCATGCAATGATCTAATACTTTTTAAAACGTACCGAGCAATACAATTTAATATTGAATGCATTTACTAAAGTGACATCTAGATTTGATAGAAAATAACATCAGAAAAAAGAAATTATCATAGAAATATATTAAATTAGACGATATATTTCCCTATCTACTCTATTTTTCGGAAAAGATGAATTTCAATCAAACTATGACATTTCACTACAATATGATGTTTAATTTCAAAGTATATATATAATGCAAGCGCATGTGATGTCGCTACAATCAACTTCCTAATTTTAGTTGATCCAAAGAATTTAACATCATAAATAACCTACACTAGTGATGATTTTCATATACTGATAATATTAAATTTTTAAAATAAATTTTATCTTAAGTGCATTAATGAATTTCTACTTCGAAATAGATTTAATGATTCATATATTTGTCATTATAGACTAGAAAAATTGAAATACTTAAAAATCACAATTATTAAATTTTGATAAAAACAAAATAAAAAATATCATATACTTTCAAACAAGCAAAAGTACTACATAGAACAAAAAACAACAATGGATATTGATATAGTTAATGCAATATTACGATTATGTTTTGAACAACAGACATGTCTTTTTGAAGTACCTAGTTTATGTGATTATTGTCTTGAACATCGTTTATGTACGAATTCGAAACATGTACTTGCTAGTATTAGAAATTATACTGAAATATTTAAAATTAGTCGTGATCAAAATCGTATTGAATTTTTTATGCCTGTTTGTATTTGAATTTTTTCTTTTTCGAAGTTTTTATTCTAGTAATTTTTTGATTGATATTTTTTTTTTGTTTTTGTTCAATAGTTTGAAATATGTCGAAATATTTTTCATGATGGTTTATGTCAAAATAATGGTAAATTATGTTCAAATTTACATGTATGTTATGAATATTTTTATACAAATTCATGTCGTCGTTCAATAAATTGTCCATATCCACATATTTTAACACAAAAAAATCATGAAAATACACTTGGAATATTAATTCATCTTGATTTAGATGCATTAACCAAAGCTTTTAGAGTTTATTATCAATCAAAAGTATTTTAGAAAAAACGAAACTAAATTATTAATTATTTTTATTTTAATTTTATTTTGTTTTAGAAACATTTATTAAATTATAGTTCATCTGGTATATCATCATTCAAAGGACAATCACCAATACCATCTTCATCATATACAAAGAATTCATCATTATCTTCTTTTCCTTCTTCTTCTTCCTCCTCATCGAATAATAAACGATTGACAGTAGCTTCACAAATTAATAGTAATACATCTTGGAAGACTAATAGTCGAACACCATTAACTTCAACAAGTTTTTCTATGCAGCAACAGATTATAAGTCAGATTCGTATGTATCTATTAGAAAATTTAATAAAAATTTTTGTTTATTTTATATAATTCAAATAGAAATATTTTACTAAATCAAATACGTAGAAAGTAGATAGAGTCTATCGAATCCAAAATTTTCAGATCCAAACCTGACGAACTTTAATAATGAATGCTAAAGAAATTATAGTTGACCTAGGTAGAAAACGGATCAATATTTTTTTTTAATGAATGAAATTCAAAGAATGATAAATTTTTAAGTAAAAAATTTCTTTATCAACTTAATTAGAATGTTTCAAAAAAATCGTCTATATATCAGTTAGTATAATGTATGCTATACCGACAGTATACTAACAATCAATTGTCGGTAGTTTTATATTTAAACGAGTGTATATCATTTGATCGCATTCTATTGCGGTTGATCACTGGTAGTAGAAACAAACGTGTTCCATATGATTCAAACCGGACAAAATTCATCGGTAGACTGTCTAGTATAATGTATGCTATACTGATGGTATTTGTCGGTAGGGGCAAAAGTCAGGAGGCATACCAAAAATCAACTGTCGATAGTTTTATGTTTAAACGGTTGAGTCAAGTTTATTAATCACTATTCATTTTTATATTTTGAATTTGTTTTTTTTAACGGGTAAAAAAATCCATGTTCATTCTTATTTTGTATTCTATATGAATACTTTTGAATAATTAATCGTTTCATTATTCGAGTTCGATAAACTAGATTTTCGATTCAATAATAATTATTTAAGATTTAGATTTCATATCGAATAGAATTTGTTTTTTTGTTTTGATCTATTTTAGCTGAAAAAGGTCTACAAATATATTGGACACCCGACAAAGATATTGAAACCCATTTCATCGAAATAGTCTTTAGTAATAATAGCAAATCTGATGGAGGTCAAATACAAACACATACAATCTATCAACATTTAGGTATTGCTCAAGTATTTTATAAAAATTTAGATAGTAAGTAGAAAAACAAAATAAAATTATTTAATAGGAAAATATATATTTTTTTTTCTTATATTATCATAGCTGCTGATCGAGTTATGGATCATGGTTTTATAACATTTCAATCATTTACATTTATACCTCGTCTTCTACAACGAACAGTTGATATGCGTCATGTATGTTTTATAAATATGTCTATTGAAACAAAACGTATACCATTATATATTGATATTGTTTCAAAACCTTATAAAAAAAGTCATTTTGAATATTATCTAAATGATAAACAAACAATTCTTGTTGAATATAATGAAGATATTGGTAAAATAAAAAGATATTATTTAGTTTTTTTTTAAGAATATATTAATTAATTAATTAATTTTTTTTTTGTTTCTTTTTTTTTTGTGTTTAAAGATTTTTCTAAGATTTCTTCGAATGTTCGAAATTATCCTGAATATGATGGATTACAAATTAAATGTATTCAATTATATTATCCAGAAACATTATTAGTTGAATATGATCAAGAATATTCTGAATATGATATTAAAAATTTATTTAAAAATGAAAGAATTTTTCATATTAAAACTTATTCATTTTGTGCTTTCGTACATTTTTACTGTCATGATGGTAAGTATATAGTATAAATAAAATTTTAAAATTATTTCTACGGAACACTATTGGAAAAAAATATTCCATCTGTAAACTCAGTCATTATTAAGGCTACATATTTGAAACTCTTAGTATATATATATATATACTACCTTAACCATATAGACCAACGAGACGAGCCTGATCTCAATTAGTTGAATTGAAGAAACGTTATTATATGTAATAATTCCTCTTACTATGAGTTTTATAACTAAAGAAAGGAAGAAGTGTATGTCCTGGTTAATTTATCATTATGTAAAATGTTCGTGACTTTTGAAAATTCAATGAAATTTATAGAGTAAATATATTGCACTAAAAGACTACATAATAATAGGTTCGTCAAATCATCAGCTTCTTCCATTCAAGCGAACAAAGTTGGATTGATTTCACTGACTTATATTTCTAAGATGGAATATACACTAAAAAATTCACATTTCTACTCCAAAATATAAACTGAGATTGGAGGGTAAGATACTTTTAGCTAATAGGGTAGTTCTACACAATATCTATTTAACAATTTTTTTTAATGACTAAAATCTTCAATGAGTCTTCTATTAAAATATTAGCCTTTTTAATTATAGTAAATAAGAGCCATGGAAGTTTTTTCTCGTTCAGTTATTTCTGAAGCCACCCCCTGTATATTCTGAAAATAACCTATGCAATTTCAATAAAAATGAAAAGGCATCGAATACTAACTCGTAAACTGTGCAACCTATTCAGACAGTTCAAACGTTTCTTGAGTTATAATACAATCGCTCATAAAAAGCACTCTAAGATTTGGATTACAATGCTTCTCAACATTGTTAACTTCTCTTAGAATGTCTGCACACTTTCTGATTTTAGATAATTTATTAAATTGTGTGTAGATCTACCATAGTCAAGCCTGAAACCCTTTTTTTTTATTGTGACCAACTTAAATGTTCACATTTGGTACATGCCTAATTATTAGCAAATAGTTAAAGAATAAATTTGTTTTATTTTTCTAAAAAAAAAAAGAATCAGTTATAAATATTCTTTAGATCTCATGCGTTCAATTAAGACATCATTTGATAATCCTATTCGAGTGACACCAATTTATATAGATATATATTCCCAACGTCATTTTGATGATTATTTACAACGACGTCATTCCGAAATTCAATCAAAACTTTTATTAACTGAAAATCAATCAATACCTACAACAAATAATATTATCACACAAGAAATGTTATCTTCCGTAGATAAAAATGATTTACTTCTTGAACCTGAACCATTCGTACCTATTCTACCATCAACAACAACTAATCAACAAATAGGTTGATAGTTTAATATTATATAAAATTAAATTAATTTTTTTAAATTTTTTCTTTAGAAATTTCCTCGGAAACTATATCATCAATTACTATTGAACCTTCTCCTATCGTATCATCAAAATCAACAGAAATTCTCTATCCTAAAATCGAATCTATATGTACAATTGAAGCAAATGATGAAATTGATTATGATAGTAGTGATAGTAGTGATATTGAAACTAATGAAAATGAAATACGAGCAAGTGATGATGATTTTGATGATTTACCATCAGATTTTGATAATAATGATTTATTTGTTGATGATTCAATATATGAATATGGTGATATGGAATTTCTTCGTAGTGCAGCAAAAAATTTAATGTCATCATTAACTGAAATGGAAGAAGCTAGTGATAATATTGATCATATGGATGAACCACAATCAATATTATATGGTGATGATTATGTTGTTACTATAAAATGTCGTCGTTTTGCATTAGCTTTTCTTGATTATACACAATTTCGTGTTGAAAAACAACGTAATCCAGATAGATTTCGTTTATTTTCATCATTAAAAAAAAGTATTAAGAATAATATAAATCATAAAAAACAAGAAATAGACAATAAAAAACATAATGATACACCATCATCAATATCAAATATTGATCCTGATTTATTAATATCAACAGAAACAAAATCAAATAAGAAAAAGCGTAATAAAAGAAATAAGAACAAAAAGAAATTAACTAATAATCATAATGATAATAAAGGTAATGTATGAATTAATCAAAAATTTATATAGGAAAATTTTTGTTGATATAAATTCATAAATTATGAAAAACTTCTCATGACATATAAACTATTTAAAATTTCCTTTATTGCTGTTTTATTTTATGTTCAAAAAAAATGAGTTTTTCATCAAATTTGAAGCATCTTTTTATCAATATTTCATCTCAGCAGTTTATGTAAATAAAACCATCTTGAGAACTGAAAATTCTTTTTTTGCTGTATAGAAATACTTACAGAATTTTGCGCCTGGTACCTATAAAAAAGTTGAATGTATTATGATATATATTATACAGATAATGAAATTCATTGCTAAGCTGAGAATTTAATGATGTCCTTTTCATAGAAATTCTATCGAAGGAAAACAGTGAACTTCGACGCCGAAGTCTCTATTGTTTCATTTTCGAATTCTATTAGAAATAGTCAATAATTCTGACGATAGAACTACCGCAAGTGATATCCGTCGTTTGAAATCATATTGAATCCACAAGTAGATCTAGTAAAATCCGAAAAGGATTCGTGTTCATGGATCCTTGTTATCAAGAAAAAATCAAATGATAGTATTTCGATCTAAAATTTTACCTATAGACAAATTTAATAACTCTTAGCATATCCTGAAAGTTTCCGCCGAAAAGAATATTGCATTATCAAGATATTGAGTTTCAGAAAAAAAAGCACTTTTTTCATAAAAATTTAGTTCAAAAACTCGACGAAGAAATATTCTTTCTGGTTGAAACTTTCAGAACACTCTCAGAATCCTTAGATCACTCTATAGGTAAAATTTTGCATCAAAAACCTAACAAATCTGTCATAAGCTGCTGTCGAAAGTCAATAGAGATAAAACATTCTAAGTCTTCATTATTCTTGTTGAGATCTGCCTGTAGTCTAATATGAATTCAAACGGTGAAAGATATTTAGAATATTTCCTTCATTATACTTAAATATAATTTTCTCTTAAGATAAAACTGAACGAACACCTGAATCAATTCATGAAGATGATGAAGATGATAATACTGTACATGTTCTCAATGATCAAGGATATAATAAAAAAGATATGTCAGTTCAACGATTACCACATGTCTATCTTGATGATGATCTTAAACCATGTATTGTCGTTGTTGGTGAAGAACATCATGAAGAAAATGGATCAGAAAATAATGAACATGAAGATTGGCATAATATTATTGCAGGTGGTAAACAAGTTTCAGTTTCAAAAAAGAAAAAAATACAATCAAAAATTGATTCTAATGAACATTCAATATCTTCAAATCTTCCACTTACAACAAATATTCGTTCAAAACCTCAAGCAACTGTAGATAATTCATTAATTATTCCAAATAATTGTCGTGGTTTTATTCATAATCCAAAATTATATGAAACATTTCGTTTACGTTTACGTCGATCATTTTCATCAATAAATATACATTTTCAATTCGATACATATACAATAATTATTGATGGATATAATAAATTAAATATTGAACAATGTCTTAATTATCTTAATAAACTTAATTCATATAAACATATAATATTAATATCATATGAAAATTTTCCTCGTACAACAACAACAAATATAATGCGTATGCAACAATCAACAGCACAAATAAAACTTGATCGTAAAGCTAATTATAATCGAATATTTCGTTCAACATATCGTCTTATTGATTATCATTTAAAACAATTTTATAATCAACAACAATGTATTTATTGTCGACGATCAAAAAAACAATTTCAAATAACATATTTAGAATTTCCATGTGAAAAACAAACTATAGAAGAATTAAATGATCAAATACAACAACGTATTATACAATTATTAAATACACGTTTTACATATATTGCTATTGCATTATCAGCTGATTTATTAACAACAAAACGTTGGGCAATATTTTATGATAATTTATCTAAACATAAAGAATTAAATAAAACATTATTAATAAGAAAAATTAATACAATTATACAAGTTTATGGTTTACATACAAATGTACAACAAATACAAACATTATTAACAAAATTTTTAGATGCTAATCGTTATGAAACAGATATTATTGAAACTGAACAGGTAGAATTATTTTAAATTGAAAAGATTTTTAGAATAGATGTTAAAATTCAAAAAAACAAAACAAATAAAATAAAATCAACTAGAGGCTTTTCTAAAAATGTGTCATGTATATAATTTTATTCATAACTATTACTTTTTCAATAAGATCATTGTGAGCACAACATCAATTCTTATTTATATATACGAACATAATATTATGCACTTGAATTTATGTAAATGCTCTTGTTAATATATATATAAATAAGAAACGATGATGAACTCATAATGATCTAAGACCAAACTTTATGCACAATAGTTTTCTATAAATGTTTTCATATCTTAGAGTTGATGCTAATCATTTCAAATAACAATTATGGATAATATCATATGAAATGATGAAAAGCTTATATGAATCGCTGATGAATCATTAAATATTTTATTTTATTTTACAGCAAATATGTAAAATACTCTGTAGAATATTTAGCCTTTTATAGAGTTCCAACAATATCTGACAGACACCTATATCATTTGACTTTAGTATCTTACTCAATTAATTCTTAGAAAAATATTAGTATAATAAAGATAATAACCTTAGTTTTTCTTGTTTTTTTTTTTTTTTATTATAATGATTAAATTTGTTAATTGTTTTATTTATGTTATAGGCTAATGGAATATTTTCTTTATTCAAAAATGAATTTGAAGAAATGAAAAATCTTGATATATTTCGTGAAGCTGAATTACGTTTCATTTATCTTCATCATCGTCGTATGTTACTTGTTCAATGTTTTCAAGAAAAATTTGAAATGGTTAAAGGTCGAATACAAAAAATGCGCAGTCAACTTTCAACTACTCTTCTACCTGTTAAATCACCTATACTTAGTCGATATTATTCAAAATCAAATGAAAGTCAACGTATCGCTAGTATAATGAAAATAAAAACAAAACTAATTTTATTAAATTCATCAACTTTTTTTTTTTGTTCTTCTTTATATTATAGCAGCATCAACATGTATTATTACTGTTGAACCACGTATTGATCATAATCGACCAAATGGTAAAAATAAGATTTTAATAAAATTAAATCTTATGATTTGTTCTTTGTGTTTCTTAATTATAGATTATTTAATCAATTTAAAAATTATCGGTCGATCACCTGAGCAAATAGCTACAGCACAAAAATTGATAAAAGAATTCGAAGAACAAACATATTCTACACGAAAAATCCATAATAATGATATTGGTTTATTCACTGAACAAGATGTATATAGCTATATATAATAATAATACTCAAAATTTATTGTAAACTCTCAACAGATATGACTCTGTTTTCTCAGCACCTACAAAAGAAGTTCAATGTATTGAGATGTAGTTTATTCACAATATTGTAACTTATGTTTTATAGTTTATTTCCTGCAAGTATCATTCTTTAGTCCATGCAATGAGTTTAAAGTATCTTTTAATTTGGCTAAGCATTGATTGTACAGTTCATGTAAAATTAGATGCAAATTTCACAATAAAAAAAAGAAACATTTTGTACAGTGTTTCGATGAAATTTTTTTCTCTTCTACGATAAAAATATCTTTGTAATCTGATCAATTTCGAGTTAAACCGAATAACATTATTTTTAATATCATTTTATCTAGAACAGTATATTTACAGTAAAAATAGATGATATTGAGAGTAATTAAACTATGAAACACAAACGGCATTCTATCACGAACTATGCTCCAATATATGTTGAAAATCTCTTAAAATATCGAGAAAATAAATTTATTTGTTGAGTATATGATCAATTTTGAGCAGCATTCTATATAATTTAATAAAATATTTTTTTTTTTTGTATTTTGATTTAGATTGAATTACTTCAAAATAAATGTAATACATGTAATGTTTCATGTACAATTGATCAGGCAAATAATTTAATTGAATTAGAAGGTCTTTCAGGAGATTTTATTCAAATTGAAAAAATGATTTCTGATTTATGTTTAATTGTTGCACAACGAACACTTGATGATATACAATATTCCATTCAATGGATATATTATGATACATTAACAAATAAACCTATGATATATGATAGAATAATTAAACAACAATTAGAAAATTGTTATACAAAAAAACAAAAAGGATTAGTAAGAAAATTAAATAGTTTTTGTTTTTCTTTTGAATACTTCTTTTTTTTTTTTGTCTTTTTAAATTTAGGTTAATTTGAAAGATCAACAAGGATATAATCATACATTTAATTTGGATAAAATGATTGAAATTAAAGATGAAAAAAATTCAAATATTTTACCAACAACTGTTAAAATTGAACGACGTGATTTCAAAAGTGAATAATTATTTTTTTCGTAAAATTTTTAATTTATTTTATTTGAAAATAGATCATCAATCTATACGACTTCCAGTACATTGGACACCAATGACAAAAATTTGGGACCGCGTATTAATTGGTAGACGAGATAATATAGTTGAATGGAGTATATCTTTTTTAATAAATGATATATATATATATATTAAGACATCACATATTTATTTAGAAGCTAATGCTGAAGTTCAAATGTTACTTCAATTACCAGACATGCTATCTGAATCATGGATTATCGAAGTATGTGTTGTAAAGATGTCGATGAAAACTAAATCTTAGAAATAGACAAAGACTTTGTTTCTTTTTGAAAGACTTGAATTTTCTTAAGAATAAAATGTACGATAATTTTTAATTTTAATCATATCACTATGTTGTATTTTTTCGTCAATATTTATTCAAAAAGCTTGTAGAGTTTCATCAGAAATCTTCTTATATATGAGTATTGTATTTTCGGAAAAACGAAATTAAAAAAATTCTACCAATGAAGGAATCTTTTCATCTGTCCCTTTCGATTTCAATGATTTTTTTGCCTATAGATACTACATAGTATTCCAATAAAAACTCTAGAACAATATGAATTCTTATTGCGATTTGATTAAATTATCGAAGTTCCATCCAAAATTATGTGTATATAGAAAACTAAAATAGAGTGACTTTCTTTAATAAAAATTCAGAAGTTTTGAGCAAAGTCTCTTCGAAAGATAAAACTTCCAAGATGTATATACCCTTTTTCGAGGATAAGATATTTAACATAAATTCTTTGAAAGTTACATATCTCGAAAAAGATTTTGTTGAAAATTTCTGAATTTTTTGTAGAAGCTAGTCTAGTTAATTTCTTTATATACACAAAATTTCAGATCAAATTTCAAAAATACGAGATTTCCGAAAATTTGTGATTTTCCAAAAACAATTGACATATTAAAAATTGGATAGCTTCATCAAATCTCAATAAGAATTCAAATTCTTTTAGAGTTTTATTAGAACACTATGTAGTATCTATAAGTGAAAAAACCATAGAAATCGAAAGAACTTAATTGAAGAGGTTCTCTCATAAGTTCATATAAGATATTCAGAAAGAAAAGTTCTTAGTACATTCTGCACAAATTAAAGCATAAAATCCGATGTAGCTGTTGTTGCAAATCATAGAGAGCTTGTTTTATTCTATCTATTTTGGGACATACTTTTTCACCATCCTTTTAATTAGTTCTCCAGAAATACAATAAACAACTAGTTTATATAGACCTCACTGATATACGGTCTGTAATGCGGGCAAGAAAAAGATTATTTTCTCGGTTTTTATAATATAAACACATAGCAAAGTCAATAAATGAAATACATTAGTTTCTATGAACATAAAACTATCACGAAACTTTTTAAAATATATTTATAATAGATTCATCGTGTACAAAATCCACGTTTGTTTCAACAATATATTGCTTATAAAGAAAAATTAGCTGCACGATCTCAAGATACTGAACGTATTCTTTATCGTTTGGCACAAGGTCATCTTATTGATGATATGTGTGCTAATGGATTCAATCAATCACATACTGATTCAGCTTGTAAGTTGTAGAAAACAAAAAAAAAAAAAAACAACAACTCATATGAAATAAACAATCATTACTTATAAAGATAACTTAAGAAACTTTTTTAATTATTATTTTAGTTTCTGCTTATGGTCATGGTTGTCATTATTATTGTAAAGCAAAAGAAATAAATCGAACCGCAACATTATTAGCTCAAAATCATCAAACAATACCAATACGATTACAACAACAAACATTAGCAAAACCACAAAGACGTTATTTATTCGTATGTAAAGTATTAGTTGGTCGACAGATACGTGGTGATCCATCAATGAAAACATGTCCACCTGGTTATGATTCGTTAGTTGATAATATGACATTACCAGAAGTTTTTGTACCATCTTATGATGCACAAGTTTTACCAGAATATTTAATTACTTATCAAAGTGATATTTTCTAAACAAAAGATATATATATTCTCATATATCATATTTATATGGCTTATTTCTTTTTTTGTTTGTGTTTTTATTTTCTTGCTCAAATTTGTTATTTCGTTTCATTCTTTGTTTTGTCACGATATGAACAAATAAAAACATGTGAACAGTTGACATCTGGTTTTTTTTCATGTTATGACCTTATTCATACAAAAATATATTGTAACTTTTTTTTTCATATCTTCCATATATTATATTTATATATATATATATATATATAGATTGATAATTTGATAAAGAAACAAGGCATGACAAACGAAACACAGACTTGAATCATAAAAAAAAAGAACGCCTATCAAACGCTGGTATATAAAGGTTATAATAAAAATACAAATTTCTTTTTTTAACAATACTCAATCATATAACAAGAAATAAAAGTTTTATTCTTAAACTACTGAAGATGTCTTTCGCCCACACAGTAACCATATAATGAGACCTAAAAATAATAAAATTCAATAAATATTTATAAATAGACAATATGAATCATACCTCCAATGGGGAAGAGAACAATAAGTAAAATCCAAAGTAATTTTCCAACTATACCACGAGGTGATCGGAGAACATCAATAATAGCGATTATATCAAGTATTAATACGATCTAATAGATAAATAAATAGATATATACATAAGAAAAATAAATCTTTATTCTTTATTTTTTTAAAATTTTAATTCACTTACAAGACCAGCAACACCACCTCCAATCGGGGGACCAAGATTACTAGCACTGACTAAGTTGCAGAAACATAATAGAAAAGCAAATGTGAGAGTAATAGAAAACGATGACATGATTCAATCTTGAAAAATAACAAAATGCGGTTAAATAAAAATATATAAGAACTACCACACATACGAGTTTTTTTTGTTAATATAAGGTACGTTTTTATCTGCACACACTATTTATTTAACAATTCATATCAAAAATCAAACAGAGAATTTTTCTTATCATTTAAGTATATCTATTTTTTTTTTAATATGTAACAAACGAACTTGCTCATCTTTCTTTACTGCTCTTACAATGAAAAAAATATCTGTAATAGTAACAACATCTTTGCTTTTGTTTCAAATATTTGGATGACCATTCTTTGTTTTTTTTTGGTTTTTCAATTAAAATTTGGACTCAAAAACGCACGTAATTGATCTTTGAAACCTTTGTCCAATATTTTACTGATAAGCTTGTGCTCTTTACACTGATATTTATCTTAAGTCAATACATTGTATTTTAAGCATGATACTTTCTTTTATTTTCTTATTTCTGTTACTAGAAATAGTATACTTTTAGCTCATTATTTTTACATTAAACATTCTAGAAATCTAAATCAAGTATAAAAGAAATACGTTCATGATTGTTATGAAAAAAGACATTGTTGTTTTTTTGAGGGTCTAATAGCATTGTATTTTACATTTTGAGATGTATAACATCGCTCCAGGAAACTTCACTAGAAAAGATACTTCTTTTCGTCTAAGTAAAGACACTTTCCATATGATTAGATGATACTGTCACGATTTTTTTTCCAATTGCATCATGGAGTAATAAAGGACAATTTGTTCTATAAAATATAATGTATGCATGATATTTACACATAGAAAGGTAATATGTATAGAGGAATGCCAAAATGTCATGGATCAATAAGCAAGCACATTAATTAAAATTTTTCTATATAAACAGAATACAATATTCAGTATTATACAATATTTTTAATTTATATTAAAAATAAAAATTTTTGAGCAAGTATACATTAGTATTACTATTCCTTTACACGTAAATTTATTATGGCTAATGCAAAGGATGCTAGTTTCCATGAACGAAAGAAGAAATCGACACCTCAAGTTGATGGTATTCCTCGTAGTAAATCTACAGGTATGGGCCCAAAAACACAAAGACATTTTATCAATGTTCAACAAAGAATGTTCAATTTTCTTGCTCAACAAGAAGCATGGGAATATGGTGATATAGACCAACAACCACATGTTGCTGTTCCTTCTTCTTCTCTTTTTGCTCGTTCTTCACGTCATCATCATCAGCATCATCATCATGTTGATCCAATCTTTGTTGATCGAGAGAAAGCGTCAAAACCAGAACCAAAAATTTCAACACCAGCTCCATCACGAAAAAAATCTGCACATAATGGATCGTCTAAAAAAGACTCAGCTCATCGATGAGAACTAAAAATTAACTTATATCTTATGTTAAATAATTTCTTCGTACTACCCGTTTGAATGTAAATTGTAATAATTGCTGTTTTTTTTTTCATATCGTAAGGCATTTAGCTGTCTATTTAATAGATAATTATCGAAATAAATTTAAACTTTCATAATAAATGGTCAAGTTTATGAACATATATTTGTGTTATTATACTGCAATAAATATTCAAAATTTGGCTTTCAAAATCAAAACTTTATGAATAAAGTATTGTTTATAACCTATTTGTCATAAAAGCATTTGATTCGTTATCATGTCACTTGATCAAAGATTTTTTTTCTCTTTCAATAATTTGTTAAAAGAACAAGAGTTGAATGAATAGTTTTAAAAAAGTACAATGATATAAAATATCGATTTGTTTTTTATTATTATGGAATTAAATAAAACTAATACAGAGCATCATATTTCATAGTATTAATCATTGAAATACTCTTTCTTTTTTGTTTTTAACAATTAAAAATAGATTTTTGTTTTATAATCAAAGGATTACGTTAATAGTGGGCTGTGCATCTGTTATGATAGTTCGATTAGTTTATCGACAACAAAAAAACAAAACTAAAGTAATGACGTAAAATAATATAACGTCGCGATTAGGTAGCTACTTCGAATTATTAAAAAAAAGCACATGGTGCCAATACATGGACCCATTGTAACATTATATATAAGTATATTAAAATTTTCGATAAAATTTTGAAAATGTTCATTTAATGCTTATTTCAATAATAAAAACAAAGAAATCTCAACATTAAATCATTACGTTATTGATTATTCCATTATCTATAATTGATGCATTAATACGCAATATTTTTGATCTTTTTTTTTAATAAAAACTAAATGTGATAAACTAAAAATCGACACATTTTTCTTTTCGTTCTTTTCATCTTAGCATGGAAAAAAAAACATCAGGATGTAAGTGAATGTAGGCGTGAAAATAATAACTTTACTCTTGTCCTAAGAGCCTACCAAATATACTTTTCAGCTGTTACCTTCTCATTCAATATCACAATCCAGGCGTTTTTCTTTTTTTTTTATTTGCGTGGAAAATGTTTTCGTATAGTAAATATTATTCGGTATAGACACTCAATTAAATGCGATGATGGGTTAGTAAATATAATTGTTATCTTTTGTTTTCTATTTTCATTTTTTATTTTATAATTAGATGCAATTATTTTGGGTTTAATTATTGGAACAATCGCATTATTATCATCAATTGTTATTTTTTTAGCTGTTTATTTACAAAAAAACAAAAAAACCTTTATTTGGAAATCATCAACAAATACACAAGCAGTTATTAGTTCGGCACCAATTTCTAGGTAGAAGTTAAAACTTATAATTTATTGTTTCTTTCGAATAAAATGTATACATTTCATATAGACGATCATCTTCATCATGTTTAGTTAATCTGGAAAAACAACAATTATCACGATCTCGTTCAGCTTCATTCGGTGAAGATCTTGCTGCTCGTCTTCAAATTTTAGCTGCTGGTAGTTGTTATCGTTCTTATGCTCCAGCAACAGTCAATCCTTCATCTCGTTCAGCTAGATCATCACTTGGTGCTAGTATTCGTTTTCCAGTTTCATCGAATATAACTCCAATGTAAATAAAATTTTCTTTAGTAGAAGTTACATATGTTATTTTTAATTTTCTTTAGTATTCCTTTAAAACCAATTATACCTTCAATTACATTTCAATTACGATATGATCATACAATAGAAACTTTATCTATAACTATTTTTCAATTAAATAATTATTTACCAAGTAAATTAAATAAAATTAATAATAAACTTTACTAAAATATTATTTTAGCTAAAAATACTCAAAATATGTATCTTATTCTTTATTTATTACCAAATGATGATGAACAACGTCAAACAAGATCATCAATAAATGGTATATTTAATGAACATTTTCATTTTCCAGTAATATCAGAAAATAAACAGCAATTTTTCATTTTTCAATAACTTAAATGTTGTTTTTTTTCTTCTTTTAGTTAAAATCTCATGATTTATTAAATCGAACATTACGTCTAACAGCATATGAAGTTAATTCAGTAACACGTATACGTCGTATAATTGGACATGTATTTATTAAATTTGATCAATTTATTGATGAAAATAAAATTGATAAAACGTTTTCAACAAATACTTTAGTAGAAAATCTTAATCAAGACTCACGTATTCGATCAGACTATCTTGGACAAGTAATATTAACATCTTGTTATTTAAAAGATCAAAATCTTATTCAAATACGAATACAACGAATCAATCATTTACATATGGAACAATCAAAATTTAATACTCCATTAAAAGGTATATTCTAAAATAAATTTATTGAATTTAAAAAAAGTAAACCAACAAACAAATATCTTTTGTAGCTCATTTCAGTGGTCAAACATCTAATACTAGTAGTAAATATCATTGGACAAATACTTCATCATTTATTATTCCATCATCTTCATCATCATTTCATATTGATAAAGAATTAAGATTAATTGCTTATCCATCATTAATTTCAACAAATGACGGTTATATTGAGTGTCATCTTAGACTTCATTTACATGGTTTTAATCAAATACATAGTCATGCTCGATGGAAACAATCACTTCGATTTACTTTACCACATACATATACTATTTCACTTGTTGCTTTGTAATTGAAAAAAAATATTTTTTTGTTGTACAACTCACATATATTTTCAGAGAAAATAATGAGTATGAGTTTTAAGTCAAAGTTTTGCAGATTTGTTGAGATATTGAATATCTAAAGAATTGTCGTTTGCCACAAAAATTGAGCTTACTTGAAAATTCAATATCTCAATCGAGAAACATTCGTTTAGGTTCAAACTTTCGGGATCTTTTCAGAGTCATTAGAACTATCTATGAACGAATTTCAGATCAAATTTCTACTATTCAGCTTGTTAATAAATACCTGAAGTAGGATCAAAAACTCAGTAAAATGGTCATAATTCAATTTTGAAACCTCATATATACGAATCATTTTAGTATTTTTCTAGTTTTATGAAGATCTAGTTATGAACTCAATATGAGCTCTAACGTAAAGGAAACAGCGTTGAATGGCATCAACAACAAAACTTAAAAGAACATTCAAAAATCTCCTTCGAGATTTGAGTGGCTGAAATACTTTTGCGTATATTCTAAACAGTATACTTTTTGATTCTTGTGCAAATGTCAAGGATGATGAGCAGTGATGTACTGGTTTGCTTAAATTGTCATTCGATTCAGATGAAAAACAGACAAACTGATCTAATTGTAACTTCAGGAAGTACTTAATATCAGTGTTTTTGAGCTTATCAAGACTTACAATAGTATGTGGAGACTTACTATAAATATAATCTATGTATAGAACAGGTTTATTTGTCAGTTAAATCAATAGATAGAATAATGATAATGTTAAATTAATAAAAATGGTATACGAGGAAGAAAAATAACGAATGAATAGCAATAAAGTAAAAAATATCAAAAAAATTTCTGTTCAGAATGCAGATATAAATAAGACAGATCACTTCTCTAGCAATCGATTATCCCTAAAAAAACAACTGTAGTCTACAAGAGATTTTTCGCTTTACATGTTTTGTATTAATAAAAGAAGGCTCAAGAACACATATGAATACCACATTGCAGCTCTAAAGAGATTGTGCTTACAAACTTTATTTTTGTTCATGTTAATATTAAATAAAATCGAATATTTATTCATAAAAATAATTTCAGTTTTGATGCCATTGATCAATATCATGAAATAACTTTAAAATAAAAAAAACAAATCAAAAGTATTATTTTATGTTATACGTTTCATTAGGATATACTTTGGGTAATCGTGTAGATTTTTTATTCTGAATTAAGAATTCTTTAAATGCTTTAACTGCATAAGCATCAAATAATTTTGAATTCTAGTTCAAATAAAAACAAAAGACAAAGATTCTTTTTTTTCTATTAATGAAATTTTATACATGATCTTACTAATTGATTATTTTTTTCGAGAAGATTCGATATTTGAGAATCATCAATTGAGTACAATTGTTGTTTATTAGTATTCAAAAATGTTTTAGAATTTTTAAACATTTTTGAGTTTAATTCTGTTGTTAAATTATTTTGTGATACTTCCGCTTGAATCTAAATAAAATGAAAAAAAATTATTAATTAGCTTTTACTACATAATCATTTACTTTGTTAAGTATTTGTTCATTATCTGAAGTATTTTTTAATGATTGACGAAGACTTTTTGGTATAATATTAAGTTGATGAATATTTGTTGGTACATATATTGATGATGATAGATGATTATCGACAGAGAATAAATCTATTAATGTATTTTCATCGAATATATTCGAATTTTGTTGATTATCCATTGTATCATTATCGAGAGAATGAAGAAAAGAAAGTAATTTTTGAATACAACAATGTGTATTTGAATTGATCTAAAAGAGAAGTTTGTCTTGGAGAAATTAATTTAGAATAATTGAATAAATTTTACTTCTGAATCGAATGATTTTTGACTGAATTTTGTACCGGAATTTTTAACTTTGGGTTTTTCAGCTCGACGAAGACGTTCAACAAGTTCTGCATATGGATTAGTATTACCAGTTGAGATAAGATTATGTGAACTTGATGCAAGTTGTGATGTTGTACCAAGTTCGGATTTTTGTATCGATCGATGACTGAAAAGAATAATATCTAACTATAGTCGATTAGTGATGTAACAGTGAACCGATCTTATGTACAACTGTGTAGTGGTCTAAACATATACATACAGACTGTTGGTGAATGCATGATAAAACTACGACGGTGTTGGATTGATTTCGATTTTTTTTCGACTGAGGAAAGCAATTCAAGAAAATAGTTGAATTCTATAAAACATGAACTGACTGTGAGAATGGACAAGGGAGTGTTTCTGAATGTTAAATGGCTTTTGAGTCGGGACTATGGGTGTCATGTAGGTTTTAATGAGTTACGAGTACTCTGAAAAAACTTCAGGCTAATAGTTGATTACTAACGACATACTGTATTTTTTAGCAAAATGTTCTGCTTCTCCTCAGGAACATCAGGAAAACCGATTTTCGAATTTCGATTTAAAACTCTGCATAGAAATAAGTGTTGAAGAGAATATTTTAATGTGAAAGTTTTAAATTATTTGATTGCATCTATTCTGAAATAAGAACATCGAAATCGACCTGTTGTATATGTGCGACTTGAAAAACATGCTTTTACCATCGCCATATCATGAGATAGAAAAAAATCAAAATATATGAAACTATTAAAATAAAGTATTCTTATTAAGACGTGTCTCTATGGACAATTTCAAGTCGAAATTCGAAACCCAATTTTTCTGATATTCTTGAGAAAGCCATGATATTCTGCTAAAAAATACAGTATCTTAGCAGTAATAAACTATTAGCTCGAACTCTTTTCAGGGTATTCATAGCTCATTAAAGTATACATAATACACTAAGAAACGTTCCCTCTTTAGTTCTCACAGTTGGATCATGTTTTATAAAATTCAATTATTTCTTAAAAGTGACTTTCCATCGATCGAAAAAGTCAAAATGAATCTAAGATCACCGTCGTTTTATTCTGTATGACATGTTGAGACTAGTGATTCTCATCACCGTTACATTTCCATTATTGATATTAATAATGAACCTATTCGAAAGTAGAGATGTCGACGATTTTTTACTAAATTGTGATATTGAATGATTGACATTATTTTTAGTAAACATTGATTTAACTGGTGATAGTAATTTTTTTGAAGATAATTGGCGACTGTCATCAAGAACATTATTGGTTACAGCAAAGTTTGCTTCAGTGTCTATTGAAGGTCGAGATGTAGTATTGACTTGAAAAATATTGTCCGGAAAGTTCTATACAACACTATAATTATATATTACAATAATAATTTAATACAAATAAATATAACCTCAGCTTGTATTAATTTCTCTAATTCATCAAGTTCAGTTTGATCCAATGTAAGTGCATGATTTTTCCTCATTATTGATGAATGACAACATTCTGATGGTAATAATGGATCACATTTTTTATCTAGTTTTCGATTATTTACATCGACTAAAGGTTTTTTTTCTAATGCCGAAGATTCAACAGAAATATTTAAAGATTTTTGTTTAATACGTGGTAATTGAAATTGTTTATAACATTCATGATCATTTCGTATTGTTTTTAAACGTTCACGAAAATCACCATATTTAGTCAAATAACTTCAAAAATAAATAAAAGAATTTTAATATCCCATTAATCTTGATTTAAAAACAAAAAAAAAGAGAAGCATACTTATGCCATAATTTACTAAAACAAAACAGATTCCCAACTATAAATTCGTATTTATTGAGATTTTACTTACTCATATAATTTGCTACAAGTCATGTTCTACTCGTAAATAAATAGAAAAACTAAGATAAACATTTGTTGCTAAGATAAATTCATTTATTCGTCATGCAATACAATAATTCTTATAGGTATTTGTTCTACTTATTATCGATTAATATTAAAACATTAATTTTTCAAATTTCGTTATTTATGTAAGTAAAGAATATTACTATCTCATAACGACTCTCTTTTCATACAAGATCTTTATTTTAATCACAACATATGATTTTGATAATCAAAAAATTCATACAACATCAAATCATTTTATTAAATGATTTACACCAATACTAGTGAGATTTTTATTACTTATAACACTTGTTTGTCGATTTCTATTATGGATTTTACAAGAACATTGTTTGTATGATTAATCAATTCAAAAGCAGAATTACATTCACTATCCTTCAGTAGTATATCTATACTATAGTTTAAATTGTCAGGTATTAAATAATCGAAAATATGTTCAAATAATCTTCGCGCATAGTTTTTGTTTGTTTATAAAAATTCGCGCTTTATATCTAAAACTTTGTCTTATTGTAATGACAATCAATAATATTCGTCAACAACGTTCTAGTTCTTATCAAATAGATAATGTAATAGATTATGGATTAAATTTGTTTGATTATTATCTATTAAATAGTTAGATACGAAACAAACTCATACACAAAATACAAATGATTCAGTTAATAATTCGATAAATAATTTTAAGAATAAAATTTTAACTGGTATTCATGGTAAAATATTTTTTTAATAAACAAATCATATTAACGATGTATATCATTAGATGAAAATTATCATTGGCTTTTTGAAAATTCAAAGAGTGTACTTGATGATATATTCAGTTATCCATTATTAATTGATTATTTTAATGTCTATCTTTCATTACCCGTAGGTTATTTCAAACTAAATGTCTTAATGGACCGGAATATGAATCAAAGGCAACCAGCTCATGTCCCATTCATATAATTGCATTGAATAAGTTTTTAATACATAAGTGAGCAAGTATATTTCAAGTAGCAGTAGTTGATGTATAAAAAAAATGTTCTGAAATACAAAAACAAAACTTTTCAGCATAAAAATGTGTTTGCTTTTTTATTATTAATAACAACATATGTCAATGGTTGTCATTTCAAAAGAAATTTGATACATTCAGATGTATACTGCTTTGTATATGATAATCAACTAGCACTAGTAGTGGAAGAGAAAAATAATAACAAAAATTAATGATGGAAAAGATTCTTTATGTATTTGCTGTTCATCACCGAAATGTTTTAGTCAGTAGAAGAGTTATATGGAATTTTCGAAAAAGAATGTATTGTAAATACGTAAAATCTTTTGAAAAGTTTATATATTATTTAAGAGTCAATCCGTGAATGCCTAGTCTATGATTTTTCTATTCAAAAATTCTGACTCATTGAGACCTTTGGTTTAAATAATATTTTGTTTTAAATGAAATATAAATTTAGATTTTTGGACAACGTGTTCTTTGTCATCGTTTAACACATCAATTTGATTTTGATCCTCCAATATTAGTTAAACATCAGGTATAATATTTTTCATATTCAATCAAAATCTATATCATATAGACTTCTGAGCAAATTTATGAAGAAGCAAAAGAATGGTTAATTCATTGTCGATTAGATAATTATATTCATACAGATATTTATATTGAGAGTCTTCTTATTTTATTACTTACAACAACAGATGATTCAATAGGTTAATTTATTCAGAAATAATACTATGAAAAAAATTATTCAAATATTTTAGAATTATCTTCGACCTTACATACATTTATTCAATCAAAAGAAACAACACTCAAAGAACAATCACATATATTTTCAACAGTAGCTGATGTTCGACAATTTCATCAAGTAAAATTTGTTTTTTTTTTATTTTTATAAGTAAAGAAAAAAGAATATTTTTTTTTTTTTGAATAGTTTCTTCAAACTACATCAGGAATTAAATATTGGAATTTCTTTATTGATTCAATGCGTTTACTTCAATCACGATATTCATCTCGATCTACTCGTATTGATATTTCATATTTGAATTTTATCTATAAATACTATTCTCAATATCATGAATTTCATTCGATTACTAATAGTTTTGGTGATACTCGAATGCCTGATTCGAGTACACCAGATTCAATATGGTTTCAAATGGCAATCAATGCAATGCATCAATTACGTATATATTGGTTACCACGATATCTTAGTCAATTATTTTCATCATCTCAATTGAAGAAAAAACCTTCAACAATTGAAACAAATTCAAAACCGATTGAGAATATTATTAAAACATCATCAGATAATGTTATTGTAACACCTAACAATCACTTATCAACGATTGATTCAAAAAGAAAAAAAGAACCTAATTTAGTTAAATATACTCTAGATAATATCTCTTATCTTGATTACTATCCTCAACAATATATACAAATTCAATCATCTGAACAAGATGATTTTCAACAAAGCTTTGAAGAATTAAGTGAACGAAATGATAATAATCAAATAGATACGAATTCTAAATTAAAATTTGAAGTTCCACTATATTCATCATCAGATCGTTCAATTGAAGATTATGCTACAAATGTTAATCTTGAATTATTTTATCGTATACTTGTGTCAGATTCATTGGCTGGATCACCATTTCTTCAATATATTTCTCAAATAGTACCTAAAACTGATGTAATTTCATTTCAAACTTGTATTCATTGTATTACCGATGCTGAAATTGTATTATCTATTCCGTCCGAAAAGTTTAAAGAGAAAATTCTTAAACAATTTATTTCTCGGTGAACAATTCAATTTAAAATATGTAAGAATTATTCTCTATGTTTATAGATATATTGAAGTAACAGCTACAGCAGTATTACCTAATCAAATATTAGATAATATCGACGAACAAAGACATGAATTAATTAAAGAATTAATAAATAATAATAATAATAACAACAATCAATACCCTCTTCTTTGGAAAATTTTATTAAAAATTACAAAAGTAAAGTATTTTTGTTTGTTTCTAAATTGAAAATTCATATTCATATTTCTATGAAACATGATCTAAAAGGAGTGTAGAAATATGGAGATAGAAATTTCGGTCCACACTTCTTTCTTAGACTGTAACAGACACTGTTATCACCTATCACATATGCTATCAGATCTGAAGTTGAATCCAAAGGTTTTGGACCCATCAGCCTCTACTAGTCAAAGACGATGACAGATGCTGTTAGTATACAATGAAAGACTATATATATCAATAAAATCTCGTTCTAATACATGAAATACTTCGTAATTGCATTTTTGGAGGTTTAACTAAAATAATAGTGAAGAAATGTGTCTTAAAATAGATTGAGTACAATGACCACATAGAAATTGCGCTAATATCTTTTTTGTTTTTTAGTTCTTAATTCCTCACTTTCTTCATTATATTAAATTCGATCGACTTCGTTGTCTCATTAAAGTAAACGTTATTATTTTTTATTTTTCAAATAATTTTATTCTTTCGTCAAATTAAGGGCAAAACTTTAAATATAAATCTTATCATTAATGATCTTCATCATATATTACCTTCAGTCAATTTTGATAAATTACTAACAGATCAACAAAATATTAAAGAAACTATTTTAAAACAAACATATTCCACTGAAAGAGAAATTTTCTTAAAAAACTATTTGACTACTTGTAATGAACAACAAAAAGATCTTATAAAGCTTTTCATTCAAAATCAATATTATACAACTGAAAAACAAATCAATACAGATGAACAATGTGAATTTCGAATTGGTGAACGATTTCCGCCATTAACTGATCATGAACTTGAACAAGAATTACGTCGATTTTGTACAAAATTTGAGCAAAAAAATATCGAAACCATTTTTGGAAAATCATTTGATGCTCCAATAATACCTCATCAAACAAATATTTCAGTATAAAAATTTATTTCATATGATTCATTAATCAGTATTATTCTTCATTGTAGACATTCATTGGTGATCCATTATCACATAATACAACAAACCAAACATTATTATCAAATGAATATTTAGAATTGAATACAATTGATACATTTACACTTGAAATAATTAATTCAGCTCGAGAAATATATGAAATCGATCGTTTTATATCGAATATAATGAATGAAAGTATTAATCTTATTCAAAACTATCCTTTAATAAAATCAATAAAAAGTGATTCAACTTCGTCATCATTATCATCAATATCTGATGACATACTTATAACGAATTCTTCATCAATATTAACCTATCCAGAAGTTATTACAAATAATATTAATCAAAATGCATTTGTATCTTTAAATTCATCTGAAACAAATTTTATAATGTCAAAGAAAATAAACGAAAAAAAAATTCTTTCATTAATTGGTTCATATTTTATTAATTCATCAAATATAACTAATGATAATTTAATTTCTCAAATTGAATACACAATTATAAATAATAATCTAGATCCTATTATAAATAATTATTTAAAAGAAAATCATTTAAAATCTCTTAATGAATTTTCTCTTCATCAAAACTTCGAATCATTTTCACCCTCATTTCATAATTCAATTAAAAAATTAATTATTACTCATACAGGTATTGGTCAATTATCTATTGATTTAACTAAAACAAATATTCTGTCTAATAAACATGATATTCTCACAAATAATAATAAAATTAAATTATATACAAATAATCATATTGAATTTCTTTTAGCAAATATCAAATCATATAATTTTGATAATGATAAACAAGAATTACATTTATATCTTGATAATTTTAAATTACCTGATATAACTAAATTTTCAATAATAAATAATAAAAATATAAATAAACAAGCAGAATTTTTTCATGAAACAATTAAATTTACACATGAAGATAAATGTAATGAAATAAAAAATTTTATTATTGAAAAGAAAATTTCCTATTTTCAAAATAATGAACAACAACAATTAATAGAATTTATTCAAAATAATATTAATAATCATCAATGGCCATTACATGAATATATTGGTATACAAGGACAACGTTCATGGCGTGCATTAAAATTAGCAAGTGATATTTCAAATTTTGATAATGGATTTATGTTAAATTATCATAAAGATTTCGATTGGATTTCAATTGATAATAATTATGGTTCATTTGATCAACGAACTTATTTAATTATACGAAATTTTCAACGACGTATTGAAAAAATAAAAACTATTCATACATAAAAATAATCAATTTTCATATTCATCATTGATAATAATAAAATTTTCATTATATTAAATGAATATTTCTCTTTAATAAACTATGACATCTAATCAACTAATTGTCAGTATGAGAGACATAGAAAAAAAATCATGACTGACATTCTAGAAATTTTCTTACGCATGATTGTACGCGTCTTTTTTAATAGAAAAGATAGATTACGAGACGATGTCATTATCTTCATCTATCAGAATCTATTCGGCTTAATGAAGGAAATAGATACTTCAACAAATTTCATACCATATGTTTGACAAGTTTATTAAATCTTATATCAATTGTTCTTTTTTAGAGTAATCTTTGAACAATATATTGGATATGGATAATGAATGTATCGAGAAAAATAGATATAACTGTCTGGAAAGTTAGAATTCTAAATTAAGTACACTGTTACATTTATCCATGGCTTATATAGATCATAAACACGATCAGCATGCATTTAATATGATATCGTTAGAAACCGAACTAAATATTCTGGGAAACTTTTTATTTGTTCTCAAATTATTGACATGCTAAATCTTTTCATTTTATTGTTTTTTCATTACTCTAACATGAATGTTCATCATAGTGATCAATATAAATTTCTATTAAAAGTTCCTTTTTTCCTCTCTCACAGCAAATATTTGTTATATGCAAGAAATGAAAGTTTGAAAATAATATATTCTTTATATTATCATTCGGAGACAAAAACAAAACAACAATAATAATGATACGCAAATATTTAACATAAAGTTTCTGTATAGTTTTGTTTCGGTACATTAATTTCCTTTGAATAGATATCAAAATAATTTGGATTACTCCATTGTGATGTTTGAGGAAAATATTGTGCTACTTCAAGGTCACATGGATCATCGGATGGTGGTACTTGTTCAAACATATTATATGACGGACGTGAATAAAACTGTTTTTGTTTGTGTCCAATTGGTTTAAAAGCACTATTTTTTGTACTAATAAAATCACTTAATGGAACATAGTTTGAACGATTATAATCATAATTATTATTTGTATATTGATATGGATAATAATTTTGACTCGATAATGATGATAATGTTTCATATGGATAATAATGATGACGATGTATATTATAATTATTATATTCAAAATTAGCCATTGCCGCTAAACGACGATAGGATGATGAATATTGATGAGAATTATTTTTTGTTGAATAACCATATGAAGGTTGATGAGAATAACAGTCATGAATTGACGTATAATTTTTATGTTGATGAGATGCTGTTAGCTTTACTTGATGATTATGTGATGGATATACATCGATAGAATAAACCTTTTCAAAGAAAAAAAAACTATGAAAAGAAGCATGAAAAAGAAAAAGATTTCTTTTTACCGGTTCCGTAAATGAACTTTGTTGATAAACAGACGATAAATTATTTTGATGGTAATAAGGTTTTTTATTACATATTGAATAGTCTTGTTTGTTTGTTAATATAGAATTATCTTCTAATAGATGAGTTATTGGTGTTGTTGATGTTGCTTTACTACAAGTTGTCGTTTTTGGTACATGTATTTGTGATGATGATAATAATGGTTTGGAAATAAATTTTGATTTTGCACGTTCATATTGTTTACGTATAAAACTTGATATACGTGAAAGATTTTTATTTATTAAAAGTTTATCATATGTAGAATTATTTATCGCTGATATTGTTTTTTTTTGTAATTGCGATGATGATGATGACGATGATGATATACAAGATTTTTCTAGTGTTACAGGTAGAATATCATGAATAGATTGTGGAGATTGATTAGCTGGCGTTGCAGATGATAGATCACTATGATAACCACTTGAACTTGTAGTTTGTGGAGATATACGACGTGAATCAGTCATTGGAAGAGTACCATTCGAACGCATAATTATTGACGAACGAGATAATGGTGTTATAGGCAATGATGTTAAAAGACAATCAAGACTTGCCCAAGCTAGAAAAACAGAAAAAAAAAAGAAAACACAATTAAAACAAAAAAATGATTTATCTGTAATCAAAGTCTTTTCTTTGGTTTCATATTAACAAGAAAGACGACTGCATTTTTTTTTATTATCTTCACAAACTTTCTTTGTCTGATGCTTCTCTTTTTTTTTCTTATTCATAAAACATCAGCCTCCGCTCTCTTCTTTATATACAACACACATCTTTCGTTAGTGACTGGGGACGATAATTTTCTTAGGGGAAACACACAATCTGTTGTCACATACAGACGTCTAAGGAGGATAAGACACACACACATGCGTGTATGAATTGAGTATACTTGACCAGGGAGGCAGAGAGAGAGAGAGAGGGAAGAAGATGGGTGCAGTAGGCATCATAGGGTGCAATTAGTGTGATAAGTGGCCTCGATATATACGTTTATATGTATGTGACTCTTCAGAATAATGCCTAATTTGTGTGCAATGAAGAAAAAGGATGCTGTTGATGCCACATATATATATATAAATACATACAATCAACAGCACAAGTGTAGTGAACGATGATCGTAGGGCGGCGACTATAAACGGTTATAGAAGAGAGTCATACACTTGCGAAAAATAATGATGATGATGATGTAATAGACTTATTGATATATTAAAAAAAAAGTGGCTATAACAATAAAATATGCATATATATGGGTTTTTTTTGGCACGGTCACGATGAGAAGTCTAGCATCACTTGAAATCAATACATATAGTGTATCAATCTAATTTAAAATTAAAAAAAAGAACAAAAAATATCGTTTGACCATATACATATGCATAGATTTGTCATGACGAAGTCACGCAAAAAGCTGTAAAGCTTCATTATTATTTTCCAATCGAATGAATAAGAAAATCTGTAAGCGGATGAAAAAAAAATGAAGAAAAATCTCTATATGATTAGTAATTCAGTTCTCTCTCCTTTTCTGTTTCTACATCTGATTTTGATGACATTCTTCAAAGTCAAATACAATATATTCTTTTGTTTCAGCTACTGTATTTGACCGTAGAGACAGACAATAGTAACTGTCCAAGAGACATACTTGCAAAAAGTCATTATTATTATATTATTATTATTTACTAGACACAGCCACATATTGGTGCTATCGTCGAATGAGTGCCAATTGCTGTATACATTCATTTGTTGTGGTGTATACACATACATATATATATATTTATATATGTATATATGGGATTGTCGCGACGACGATGATATTATGATAGCATACTACATACCACATACTCGGCAATTACCTTTTGAGTTATGATGAGAATGTTGTTGGGTACGCAGCTGCTTCATCTCTTGACTGTCTGGTGCAAATGTCTCTCGAATAAAACTATGAGTGTCGTTTTCTTTTTTTTTTTTGTTCTTTGTATTTTAAAGATTGAACAACGAAACATATAATGAAAGAAAAGAAAAAGAATAAAAATGGCGAAAGAAGGAAGAAAACTGAATTGAAACTTGATCAATCTCTTTTGTATGCCTATGTATGATTATGTCATTCTCAATAAAAAAAAAATAGTCTCTTTCTCAAGCCTTATGACCTGTTTCTATTTGCGTAAAGACATACATGAACTATAATGTTTAATTTGTAGTTTCATTTAAGAAGAAAAAAAAAAGAAAATTAAGAATGAACTCACAAGAATTGACATCAATGATTAACAGTTTGTCTATTTCTGTTCAATAAATAGACAAATGCAATATGCGTAAATGAACGATGATGAGATGGGTAGGATGGAACTATTCTCATACGTTTTTCTTTATGTCTCTCTTTTACTCGTGCGTATATACCAATGTTGTGATTACGTCAACATTAATTTCTATCTATGCATGTAAACAATCTATTGTCGACACTTTTCATATTGATTGTTGACGACGGCGCCGGTTTCATACATACGCAGACCTTTGTCCGTGAACATATTTCCTGTTAAGAGAAAAAAGAAAAGAGCTATTGGCCTCATCTACTGTTTAGACTACATCTCTGTTCAGCATCATCAATGGTTTATTTCGGTGACATTCTTCATTTTCTTCCTTTCTCTTTCAATGTATTAATAAGACACGAGAGAGAGTGTGTGTGTGAGAGAGGAAGACTACAATTCAGAAATGATGAACGCGTGCAAGATTCGAATCTCTGGCATATAAAGCACATTTGCATATTTTCTCATATTAATCCACAGGCAGACAAAACTCTTCTTATCAGCAAACATTACATCTTTCTTCTCAAGGGAATGGCAACGAAGCGGTCAATCCCTGTTAGAATTGAATTTTGTTAAATGTGAGCGTAATGTTGCAACTAGATGACTTCTCTCTAGATTATTAATTAATAAATTGATTTCTACATACTTAAATTAGTTCGTTTGAACTTTATAAATGTAACTATTAATCTAAAATGAATATAATAAATTATCCTCTTATTAATTAAAATTCATAAGCACATGTATTGAAGAAAAGAAGAAGAAAAAAAGAAGATTAACCTAGTTGACCTTGTTGTCTGACTTTCGAAATGTAATGTTAAAGATAAAGTTCAGTTTAGAATTGTACAATGAACGAAAAAGAAATATGTATAAAGAACAACAATCTTCTTCAGACTAATCATCAGAAAGATTGATGATCAAGAAGCTTTATGTGTGCTTATACTGTGAACAAAACTCGATTACCTTACTGTTGAATTATTCTTCTTATTCTTGGATCGATCAGTATGCAAGCCACGAGTATTTGTTCTTGAACTTTAGCTTCATGTATGCAGGAAAAACTTGTCAACACCATTACTTATTATGTTAGAAGGAAAAGGTTTCTTTTTCTTTCTCTATCTATCTTTTTCTTTCTAATAATCAGCATTGCTATTGATAGAAAAGGATATTGGGGTGGGAACCAGCTAACATACATACATACATATTATATCATCTCTCATATGCATTCTTCATCTTTCATCATGCACGTTTGTTTAGCTATAGTAGCATGGCGGATGATAAGCTTTTTTCACATCTTTGTACATGTCTGCGCTTCGGTAAAACATAATCAAAAAAAAAATATATAATATGTGCGCAAAACAATTATGATTACTCTTGCTAAGTTTGCAACAATTGTTGACAAAATTTCCAAGGTTTTTTTTTTCTACTCTTTCTGAATTGTTGAGCACCAATTATCAACATAGTGAATCTTAATCCTTTCTTGATATGTGTATGTAAAGAAGACAGTAATATGCAAGAAATCACCTTGAAGTTTTTTTCTCCTCTTTGTACATATTACACATTTATATAATATGAAGAATGACTACTTATGTTATTTCTAAGTTTTTTCTTCATCTATCAAGAATTGACTTTTTGAAATATTACATCGTTATTATTTACATATATATATGTATATATGCAGAAAACATATTATACATTCAAGTATGAAAATGAGATAATATAAAATTCTAAAAGGAAATTAAATTGATATCCGTTTTGATCTTACCTGTAGAATACTAATAGATCTTTTTCTCATTGTTTGTGTGAAAATTCTATCATATTATATAATTATATCAATAAAAACATATTTACGAAAACGTACGGATGTATGTATTCGCCTACAAAGTTTTTTTTTGACGCTGTGCACACAGACAAATATGTATATTGATCAAACAGTCGTCAATTGGTGTTATAATAATTGTGTATCAGCAGGCGTGGTATCACGTTTTCTTTTTCGAAAGAAAAAAGCAATCTGCAAAGAATCGATTGAATGAATTGACAAGATACACAATAAAATATACTAATTATGACTACTATTATAAGTAGTACGAAACGGTGACGTTTGATAATGATAACATGAAAAAAAAAATGGTTCGATGTTTATAAGCAAGAATGGTTTACGCATGAAAAATCATCATAAATGAGGTAGTTGTTTATTATATTGACTATAAATAAGATACTGATTAATCGAAAAAAATAAAAAAAGATTTGTCAATCTCACTAAACTATTTTGATCACTTGATGGCATACATATTTCAAGGCAAGATGACAGTTGTCATTTATTCATTCAGTCAATCGTAAGATCCGATAATTCATTAGACCTTGAAAACAAGGTTAAAACACGTTTGTAGGCAGTTTTGATTACACGAGTCAAAAAGAGAAACGAATAAAGTATTTGAATTATATTGTCTTAGGCATTGATACAAAAAAAAAAGAAGGAAAAAAAGACCTTTATATTCAATTACTAAATAACTATAAAAAAAATATTTAAAAGTCGATCTTCATGGTCATTGATGAAAAAAAACAAAGACACTGTGAAATTTTAACATACTTACAAACGACAATTTTTCATGTTCATCTTTTCTCTAAGATAAATAGAAATGAAATGAATGCATGTGTACAGTTCATTTCAATGTGTTTTTTGCCCGCAAGCATATTATATTCTATACCGCTTGATCGTCATTTCAAAGTTAAAACGACACGTTAAGAGTGATTCTATATGAATGATTAATCAATAGGTGTTGTTTTGTCACGATCATAAACTATATATATATATAAGGAAAAATAGTTTTTATTTAATGTTTGATGATAAAACAAAAAAAGAAAACGGCTTTCTTTTTGATGAGATTAATGATGAGAATACCTATGGCAATAAAGCAAAACAAGTTGATTTTATTTTTTTTGTATAAAAGAATAGTTAATTGTATAGATTTAGATAGACATGCATGAATTGAATATTATTTTTTTTTTTTGAGGTATTTAATTTTTAGTAGTAACTATTTTTTTACAATCGATAACAGTCAATATTTTTCCAATTAATAACAAGGCCGTTTTCTAGTAAATAGTACTTGATATATTGACCATGAACGAGAATTTTTTGTCCGATAATTTATTATAGAAAAATGTGTCATATACAATTACATTTTTGTAATTTCTAGATTGTGCAATAAGAAAGACTAATTTCTTTCCTTGAAACAAGAGATATATCAAACATTATACTCATAAAATCAATTTATTTGAACTAGGAAATAAAAATCACATACAAAAAAAAAGAATAATTATTGAACTAAATATCTCATAAATGTAGAACTGCGCATTAATGCATTTGATTAACAACAATTGAATGTTTTCCATGTAAATTTTGTTATTGCAATGAACAATTACTTAATGAATATAGTTTAACAATGCCTCGGTCTATTATGGCATTGAACTCACGGTCGTTTATTTTTTTTTCAGACATCTTTTTAATTATCTGATAAGTGTAGTATCAATTTGTTGATTTTTTACAATGAATAGTTTCTTTTCTCTAAAGGTTTTTCATTATGGTTAATTGTTTCATTAGACAGAAAAGTTTTATCACATTGTGATTGTGTTAATGTTTCATATGAAAGAGAAAAAGTGTTGAAAACAAGGGTATAAGATAAATAATTAATTTCACCTTCGATAGATAAGTTTCAATAGTTGTAATATCTTATGTGATAGAGACAAGCTGGTTCCACTAAGTGATCAAAGATATCGTTCTGCAACATATGATAGATGTGTATGAACTGTGTTTGACACAGCACAAAGCAAATATATGAATATAAATTTGTATTTCAATTACAACTTGTTGAGTATTAAATAGAAAAGATCATTGATTATGCATCAAAAACACTATTGCAATAATCAAAGAAATCTTATTCTTTCATTAATTTTTTAATAAAATCTCTTTTAATTTTATTCGCGTTGTTAAGTACATAAGAATTTTAAGTAATTAATTAGTAAAAGGTCATGTCAATTATTAGTTTATTATTTCAGTATCTCATATTAGATAAATAAAAAGCTAATCGATGATTTAGTAATGGCACGCAAATTTCAGCGATTAAGGGTAGTATTTGTTTTTTTTACAAAATTTTCAACTTTGGCATTGAGAGCGTCTAATAGGCTGAGCTGATCCAGCTTTTTTTTAGCGATAAGGATTCATGAATTACGCACCATCGGCTTATGAACCAATGGTAACCCATGAGTCGAACCTTGAGTATCATTCTCACCGATTTTTCTTACTCATCAGTTTTTATTACCATTTGCTATTTCATCAATACGGAATCGCTTTCGTTCTTCAGTACTGAATTTTGATCTAAGATAACCTATATATATATAATTCGCAACTTGGTTTATTGTTAATTTTTAACTGATCAGATGTTTTAAAGTCATAAATACAATAAAATTTAATTTAGTTATGAGTTTACGCTGATTTCTTTCAAAACCGTCCTGATTTTCATGACATGATAATCGACGACTACATAAAGATATACTTTCCATAAACAACAATACAATAATCTTTTCTTTGTAAACAGTTGTACATAGCAGAAATTTATTGTTTTTCTATTTTTCAATTAAAAACAAAGCTCAAAGTGAAAAACACATATATTATGAGATGCGGAGACGGGGAAAAAAAACCAAGGAAGGAAATGCTTTTATATGAAAATTGATCAACTGTAAAGGAGTATTGTTCAATGCAAACATTTTAGTCCATGATATTAATTAATCATGAAAGGAAGAAAATAATTTTAATTTTACAAGCTCAAACAAACATTTAATTAAATTAATGATTCGATAAAATATAGGTCACTTTTTCAATAAGTTTGACCTTTTCAAAACAGAATTATAATAGTCCCGAAAATAATTTGCAATGCATAGGCCTATATGACGATGTGAACATTTATATCTGGTACGGCATTGTTTTTTTTTGCCGTTTGACAGTTGTACTATAGACAATAAATTGTCGTCTTTCTCTGCTGATTAGTGACGGAAAAGGACGTGCTATCAGCTTCGACGATTTGTCAGTAGAGAGGGCCAACCTCTTCTTGAATTCTGTTGACTACCACATTTATCAAAAATCTTTCGAATTACTTACAGACAAACATAGAGCATAGTCAAACAACTAACATTAGACATATATCATGACAATGAATATACGCAACTATTTTCGATCTTTAATGCATAATATGCTGCGGTGTTCAAAGAAAAGGTTGTGGTCTATTTATGTACCATCCGTTTTGAAAGGGTAACACATTGAATTATTTGTTCTTTTTTTGTTTATAATAATTAATATTTGGTTGATGTTGATAAAATGTTAATTCGAATATAATCATTAAATTAGTTAGTTAGTATCATTTAAATTCAAATATTCAATAAAATATGTATAAAAATTTACCGTACATATGCACATTTATCGAAGATTTTAAATAGTTTACTAGAAAAGTTGAATGCTAAATAATTGAACGATAATTAAGGAGAAAAATTTTATGAAATGGTCATTATTATTAACCAAATTAATATAGAAAATAAAACTAATTTTAAAGATTTTTCTTCAAACCATTCGAAATATGAAACATATAGAATTTTCTTATAAATTAAATGTTATTCATTTTTTTCTTTTATCGATGTTAATAAGGTCAATATAGATATGATAATAAGCCGACATTATCATTTATTAATAAGATGTTTGCTGTTTTCAGCATCCTGAATTCAAATAACGGAGTAGAAGCCAAAAATAGTGATCTAATAAATAGATCAGAAAGAAAAAAAAGTCAAAGAGTGCTCGATTTACCGATTCACTCCTAGTATTCTTCAATGATTTCGATATACGTGTCTTTTTTATTGCAAACCGAATTAGAATCAATTATGCACTCAACTGAAATAAAATAGTGTAGGCGATTTCTATAAATGACATTCATTTTAAACCTAAAAGTTAGAATTTAATATAAAAAAAAAAAGTAAAAGCGGAAAAATTTTGCACGCATGTAGTTCAATAAGCAATGCGTGTGGAAAGTTATCTATATATACATTCTTGTTGATTATTGTTATTTTATAGTGAATAGATAAATTTTTGCATGAATAATCGATTAAGAGACATAGAGTTCAGTATAATGATTTATTCAGGCGAATCAAGCAATGTGAAAAGATTTATTTGAGATGCTGTTTTTTTCCTTTATTTAGTATTATAATGTCTATGATTAGTTTGCTGTGCAACCCATTTTTCTACATGAAGGATTGCAATAGAGATTATCTATTCATGAAGAAAAGTCAGTAGTTTATTTAAAAAAATGAAGCTATTAATGAGATATCTAAACTGGATAAACTATGAATTTCTGTAGTTAGTAGAAATTACAAAAGATGTCTTACTTCTATCTGAAGAAAGCAATCAAGAACATTAATTTTCAAGCAATCTTATTGACGATTATTAATACTCATAATATAATAATCCTATTAAGATCATCATATTTGTTTCATAACTAAATTTCGAATAAATAGAAATCAACTAAGAAAAGGATTGTGAAATACAAAAAAAATTCATTATCATGGTACATTATCGAAATGAATATCTAAACTGTTCGCCAAATTTTCTTCATTATTTTAATGAAATGGATTAGAATTTGTCGAAAACTGATAGTTAACAATGTTTTTTTCCGTTGAAAACAATGACATGAAATTATCGATGCCTATGCATTAATCTCCATAAAATATCTTTTTCTTTTATATAAGTTATTACTGAATAGCTCGTATGCAAAACATATGGCAGTATTTGAGTATAAAGATTTTTGTTGATCAATATTGAATGTTTATCTGAGGAAAAACATGTAAGAAGATCTCTTGGAATATGAGTATAAATCAAACTAAATAAGTAAACAATTTTTTGTTGATTTTTTTATGGTCAAGAGATGTCAATGAGAAATCTAAACCGTCTTGATATTCATAGAATATATTAGAAAAATATTTTCATTACCGAAGTTAGTAAGTAAATAAAAACTTTTCAGTTTAGTATAAAATATAAAAGATATAGTATATTGATATTATAGACAAAAACAATAATGGACATTTTTTTCCTTTTTGATGATTTTTCCATAGAAGAATCCAATTAGTTTCTTTTTTTTTTTAGTTTCGTAATAATTATTTCACATGAAAGAAATCGAGTTCATATGATTTTTAGAATGATATAATAAACGATCTTAATCTTGTTCTACTAATAAATATGATCATCGTTTTTTTTTTTACTTTAATATAAATATGAAAAATTTACTTTGTTAGAAAGTTATTTGATATATAAATCAATAATAAAAATGCAAAATGAAGGCTTTAATGCTTCTGAGAATAGACTGACTATTTATTTATTTATTTATTGACTTCTGTAAAGATTAAATATAAGATAATGTCAATCAAACTCAATTATACTCTTTTAAAAGGAAAGTTTTATATGCTGATAAGAAGTCAGATGATTTAACAAAAATTATGTATTTTATTTATGTGAATAATGATTTGAATAAATTTTTTGAACATCATTTGATAACACTTATCGTTTCTATAATATATGACTACTGCTGATTTGATAGAACAACTGTTTTGAAACAAGGTTACTATTATTACGATTGTACCCAGTCGTAGCGAAAGAACAATATTGACATATTCTCCAATTCATTAGCTTGCTTCTCTTTTGTCTCATAGTATCATTACGTCGATTATATAACTTCATGCTTGACATTGATTTCTGAATATTCTTCTCTATTAAATATTTTCTTTAGACATTTATAATATTTAATACATAGAAGAATCCTGTAAGTTTTATATAAACATGCCAAGTTCTCTAATGGAAAAAAAATTAGTTTTTTTTTTAATAGAAAAAAGGAATACAAAAGTATATGCAATAAATTCATTCCACATTAGGACCATTATCTAGTGGATAATTTTGATCATTTTCGTGGGTGATGACGTAAATGTCATATAGAATTCTGTATGTGTAGTCTATGTTGCAACAGCAATAGATCACGGCAAACACAAGATGTGTTTACATCGAAGATACATACATATATAAATAACTAGATGGGATAATTACTGAGTGAAGACTCAAGCTATAACTACTCAATAGTAATACTTAGATCATCGCTGACATGTAAACTTTAAGACAACAAACATGACGTGATACATTCTGAATTTCATTTCAATCTTTATGAAAGAAATCAGAATTTTTCAATTGAAACTAGATATGTGTATGAATAAATATAAGATTTTTTTTTTTGAATATATTATTGAATAGAATAATCGATCGAACTTCTTTCTACCTTATCATCTCGGATCTCTGTCTTTTCTTTTGTTCTACTTCTCTGTTTGGCTTCAATTGATAGAATAAAATAAAGAGAGAGAGAGAGAGAGAGAGAAAGAAAGAGCAAGAAAAACAGAGAAGAAGAGAAGCTTTAGCATAACAAAAAGAAATATAATAATTATTCTCATTCTCTTCAACTAGAAATGAAGAAAGATAGATTATATTGTCGTATATCTTTAGTACTATTTTCAAGTTTTGCATTGAGAACAAAACACTATGTTACAAAAGCAGACTACCAGATGAAAATGACAGATTTTTCTATTACCCTTTGTCGATATATTTTTACAGCAGACTAAGATGTATTCGCTTCTTTGTAGTTCCACTTATAGGACAGCTACGAATTTATTAATTATTTTCTATTGATTCATGTTTTTCTCTATATTCCATAAGTTTTAAAGGTAAGACCTGTTGCATATATCAAATTCATAATTAGTCTTTTGTTCTATCGAACACATTATCTGTTTATTTTCCTTTTAGTTCTCCTTCTTTTCTTTTCATTAACGTGAACCTGATAATCGTCATCATACATTGATAAATATATAAATATACTAAGATATAACTGAATCAGGGATGATGATGATTGAACCCATTTTCTTTTACACTGTGAACATAACAAATCTCTCGTTATGTACATATTTCATTTTTTCACTATAATATATATATACATCTCATCACTTTTGTCATGTTTATTTTAAGCTATTTTCTTTCTTCGTCAGTCTACTTATATGTCAGTTTTATTATATAAATTGACAAAAACATTTTAGTTTCCTAGTAAAAATTTCTATGGATGTTTACAATAGTGCTAAGAGGCTTTCTATGTTTTGTATATATCAATGAAAACCTTTTGATGATGACTTTGACATGTTATTGTCTTGCAAAAAAAACAACAACGGATATTACATGATAAGTAGAACTAGAAAAAGACAACATTCTCTGAGAAGTTTTTTTAGACGTAGAACTAAATGACTTATTCTATTTCAAACCTAATATAAATTCGAATAGGAACAACTAAAATAAGTTCTATGAAAAATAACTAAAAATAGTACTTATTAAGTAATATGTTAAATGATACTCATCTTGTTTGTTGTTTTTTTTCAATCATAAATTTTTATTTTTTTTAGAATGCTATGACTGACAATAATTCAACATTACTACATACAGACGAGTATAACTCGACTTATAATCACCATGAAAATTTAGGTTCACTTATCTTTTTCACAATTGTTTATATACTTGTACTTATATCTGGTCTAGTGGGCAATTTTATTGTTCTATTTGTCATATTAAAAAATAATGATTTAAAACATTTTACAAATTATTTTTTTGCTAATTTAAGTGCAACTGATGTATTTGTACTTATATTTTGCATTCCAACTGCTATACATGATATTTGGGCAAAAGATCAATGGTATTTGGGTAAATTTTTTTGTAAGTTATTTTTAAATAATTTATTTGTTTATTCTGAAAATTGATTTTCTTTGATCCAATAATTAAGGTTTAAGTAATCAATTTATTGAAAGTTGTGCTACAAGTGTCTCTTCATTAACAATAACAGCAATTAGTTTTGAACGTTTTATTGCAATATGTGAACCATTTAGGGTATATTAATATTTTGTTTTTTCGTTTACTTAAAATGATTATCCTAGTTTAGGTTCATGATATATTCAATGAAACATTGACATTAGTTACTATTTTTTTAATATGGGCCATTGGTCTTATTTTTTCCTTACCATTCTTTATTTTTGCTGTTTATGATCCATCATTTAATCCAACGGATTCATTAAATAATACATCAAATCTGGTAACAGTTTGTTATTTAAATGCTAATTCAAGTACTGCACGTGCTTGCATAACATGGTTTATTGTTTTACTTATTTTTGTCCCATTTTTCGTTTTAACATTTATATATGCACGTATTATACTTGAATTAGTTCGTCATCGTGCTATACGTTTAACAGCTATAGCAAAAACTCGACAACAACAACTACCATATGATGATGAATCAAATAGTTTAAATAGTGGTTCATCATCAAATCAAGATAATCAACAATCACGTTCATTTCTTGCTTATAAACGTTTTGAACAAAAACGTCTTAATACAGTTATTATTTGTGTTGTAACTGTAGCCTTTTTTGCTTCCCAATTTCCTGTACGAATTATTCAATTGGTTAATATGTATGGACGTGTACGAAATGAAGAAACAATGCCACATCTAGCATGGATATGGATATGGAAATTATCAAAATTACTTTTTTTTCTTAACTTTACAGCAAATCCAGTAAGAAAAAAAACTAAATAATAAATAATTTCATGTTTATTGTTCTTTAAATCATAGATTATTTATAATATATTATCGACAAAATTTCGTCGTTCATGTCGACGTCTTTTTCAAATACATCGTTCAATAGATTCTACATCAATGCAATCACGTAAAACAAGTATAACATCATATCTTTATTCAAGTATATATAAAAGTCGTCGTCGACAAAGTAGTTTACATAATAATCAAGTACAATATTCTCAAAATAAAAATCATCATTTTTCTTCTCGGCATATGAATAAAAAATTAAGTTTAACACGATGTATTATGGATTCAAATCAAGTGATTTCATTAATGAATAATAATAATAATAACATTAGTAATAATGGAAAAGAACAAATCAATATAAATGAGACTGAAAGTCGAGATCTTGTTACTACTGGAAGTAATGAAGAAATTATTTTTCCAACATTAAATAATACAAAACGTTCACAACAACCATTTCAAGTATTAACTGAAGAAGACGATGAGAATATTGTTCACTAATCATTTTATTTTATTTTATTTTTTTTGCATATTTATGTATATATGTGCTTGTATATATAGTTTATTCTGCTTCTTTTAGATCCAAATGAAAAAAACTATATGTTATTTAGTTGAGAATATTTCTATTGAAATTGTATGGAATTTTTAGGCTTTTTTTTGCTTATTATTTTTTTAATAAAAAGATGGCCTCTTTCTTCTATTATTTTGACTTGCATTAATTACACATAAGAAAGAAAATCGACTATTTTTTATATAATTGCAAAGATAGGACAGATGTTTAAAAAGTCAAGGTCAACAAAAGTCATAAGTTGTTGTGCAATTCCTTGTCGCTTTGCTTGTTGCTAGTAACAATTGGTATAAATAAATAGCAAAATATAAAAATAGCTAATCGAATAAGTTCGTTTTCTTGTCAGTTCATTTCCTTCTTTCATTTTCATCATAGAGAAAAAACAATCAATCATATGTATTTATCATAAAAGTATTCACAGAAAAAATATCATCATTTAATCTAAAGCAACAACATCGAATACTAGGTCGCATGATGACAACATGATAAAGAATGCTGTATAGCAAAGTGTTTTGTATTTGTACATAAGTCTGCGACATTATTACTAGTTTTAAATGTATGGTGATGATCGATAGCCTTCGTAATAGTAATGGCCAACGTAAATCAAAATTTAATTATATAATTATAGTACATGAGAATTACTAATGTTTGGATTATATATAACGAATAATATGAAATTAATATATCATTTCTATGGAACTTCGAGTTGCGTTGCATTGTTTAATAATGAGAAAAGCTATTGTTAGTTTGACAATCTAAAATTGGTTCTCATCCGAAGTCAATGAATCATTTTGACAGTTATTTATGATCGTTAGTGCATATCATGAGGGATGCTTTCTTTCTTTCGACACTGGTCAAACTATCAGACAGTACGATTTAGTGTAAGACTTCTGAGACTAAGAGTTTTGACCCCGATAGTATATTTAGTACATCAGTCTATCAGTCATTTATCTTATAGAATTTTAACTTATATTCATGACTATTGTCCACTAGTCGAAATTTATGGCAAATAAAAGTTTTCATTATGCAGTTCATCAACGATCAATAGTCCAATAAATGAATCATAAATAATCACAACGTATCTACTTAAAAAAGTCCCATACGAAATTGAAAAGATTTCATGGTACTATACTAATTACTTTACAAGCTTCTGTAATCAATCTTTGCAGTTGTAATAATAAACATTAGTTAAAACTGATGCTTTCTGTAAGAATTTTGTCTGTGACTGAGTAGAGTTAAAGTCAATCAATTTCACACTGCTCATCGTATTATGTATCAAATTTTTGTTTATTTTCATAGTGCCATCAGCTTGGTTAATTGATAATGATGAACTCCTACTGTACTTATAACTACGATTTTTATTCATTAGTCACTGGTTGAACGTAATAGTCTGTTCAATATATGAGATTATATCATTTTTCGGAGAGTGAGCATATAGTTCGTTTTATTATTTTCATATTTTTTTTTTATTATTCTCATTTAGTGCTTATTTACATGGCACAATGTTTATTGTTGTAGGTGTTATTCAAAAACTCGTATGTTAGAACATTACTCACTTGTTTAATGTCATGCTTACACAAGTTAGCATTTTTAAATATAATGTCACCGAACTAGGTTTTTTGCTTGTAATGCTCTAAATTCGATTTATATAACACATTTCATAGACTATTTAAACACATACAACAAAACCAAATTTTGAAGTCTGATTCGAACTTGGCTCGACCTGTAGCACAAGATATTCAAATCATAGTCGTTATATATAGCGATCATGAAATATTAAGCTCCACATTACATGATGCATATGAGAATTTCTATATGATAGGAAATATTTGAACAAGAAGAAGAGCAAACTGCGAGGGTTTTATTAATTTTTTTCTATTTAGTGGAAAGATAAATTATTGTTTGAGTGACATAATAAGTTTAAATTATTCTGAAAGATTTCACCAAGCGTTTTCTGCTCCGACTGAGAAGGGGTTCGTTTACTAGCACAAAATATAATTCAAGTAATTACAGATGGAATATTATTTTTGATCGACATCCTTCAAAACCTGATGAAAATGATATATCAAACCATTTCAATTTATTGACCAATGTAAACCATAATATTCATATGAACTATTCAAATCAATACAAATTGAAGGAGAACATAAAATACCATCCAATAAATATTGAAGAAACCTCGTGTTATGAAAATGTTATTTAATAAGTTAAATAAAGTTAACAATCATGAATCTGTTGATCTGGACTTAATATGTAATTACCGCCTTGGATCATCAGGAAAACAATAGTCCATTTTAAAGTCAAAACTTGATTCGTTATTGATTCAGTTGTATATTGTTTATATATGTTGAACGAACTCGATTGTTGCAAAAAAAAGATGATTTGTGATAAAGTTTGAACACTTACTCTTTTTTCTGTGCATTTTTTTTCGATAAACTCATTAAATAGTGTGTTAAAGTTCTACTCATCATTATGTCTATTTTTTTTCATTCAAATACTTCTTTTTCTTGTTGTCACTGTTGTATTATTTGTCACTTTTATTTATACGCTCATTTTGTATGTTTGTCTACTTAATGATATATTCTGTTCATCATTGAATTGGTTTAATTATTCAATCAATATCATTAAATTTTTTTTCTTATAGAATTTATTATTATTGAAAAAGATATTGACGTGCTTTTTACTCATCGATTATGTGAAGTATATGCAAACTCATTCAAGTTTTTATAGCTATATTCATCTATTCATTTGTTACAGTGTATTATGATGACAGGACTGCATATCATTCGTCGACAGATACTGCCGATAGGTACTTCATCAACAAATATATCGTCAACAACACGTCTTTCAAGCCTGGTATCAGTTTTTCTGTGTACGTTGCCTATGAAGAGTGAATCGTATGTGTAGACGACTGAAGAGTTCTAGGCATTAGTGTGTAGTAATTGGAAGCAACCTTTGGGTACTTGCAGACATCGGTGCACATCAACAGGAAGCGCTGAGTTAATGAGGGCGAGTATCTATGGCTACTTGCTGTGGATATTGGGCAATTGTGGGTGATCTTGGACGTGACAAATTAACCTAACAATCTCTGAGCCGCACTCACCGATTCAGACCCTCAAATAGAGTTCTTATTCTTGAACATCGATACTTTCTACATGAACCATTTTCAACAAAGAATCTTGTCGACGAATGATATTAATGCCTGATGACATACCATTCTGATACTAGTGACTTTGCAATTTTAATAATGAAAAGTGGCTCAATGGTGATTGAGTTTTTAAGAATTCTACATCATTGTTAGAAGGTACCTTGACAAGAGAATTCATCATACAACTATAGGCAACATCAAGTTTATATTCGGCTATGAGAATACTATTACAAATCTTATCATTGATGAACAAATATGGAATATCAAGGTTTTTTATAAGCTCAAAGGCGTTACATGTATTTGTTTTTATGTTTAATTCAACGTAAGAAATAAATAGCAGCAAACCATTTATAGACATGCAAAGGAAATGGATAATACACGTATCTTCCTTTAGATTAAAACTACGTTCTTAGAAATTGCCTTAAGTTTTACTTACTAACGTTAATTTCGTCATTTTGAAACTCAGTTTCATAGATAAATGTTGAAGATTTACTGATGAGATTCGATATACGTGTTGTCATACATTTTTTAATAATCGATACAAACGAACATAATCTCTGTATAAGTGGCTCTCGAGATGATCAATTGACGCAAAATGTTGGCTACCAACGACAATACCGGAGTTTTATTGTAGCTGAAACACACGCGAAGCCGATTTATTTGACTCGTACATAAATACTTAGGGTATACCAAAAGTAGTGGCTACGATACTGTAGTTTCATACAGAACCTTCAGAAAAATTTTTCTTTTTTATATAATGATAGCTCGAATCAAGCTCTATAATTCTACAATATTTCTTAATTTTACAGATCAGATGATAATATCAATGTCTCGACGTTTTAAAGTTTGTTGCTAACTTTTCTAAATCTTCGTCTTGGAAATACATAAAAACTAACTATGCACGCGAAAAATCAAATAGAACACGTGTAGTTTACATGTATAAAGGTAGCTAGATATCAGAGAAGATGAAAAAGAGAAGAAGCGAAGAATAACAAAAGAAATACGACTAAGATAATATAATCGAATGCTTTCAACACAAATCATAACACGATTAAAAATATTTGTCACAGTTTAAATGGACAAAGAACATTTTCGCTTCTATATTAAAGTGCGTACTGCACTTGATATCCAATCAATAGTTATTTATAATGAATTATATTCTGTCTTTGGTGATCAGGCTCCATCTCTGAGAACTGTTCAAAGATGATCAAAATGGTTTTCATGATGGTCGAGAAGAAGTTGAAGATGAAGCAAGATCTGGCAGACCTGTAACGGAAACAACATTTGAAAATATTGAGCAAATTCGCGACCTTATTGATAATGATTCATATGTTACAGTTGGCGAATTATAAGCGCAAAATGATCTTAGCCATGGTATCGTTTAGCGAATTATTTCCGATCATTTGAAGTTCAGAAAAATTACTGCACGCTATGTTCCCAATCATTTGACCGATTCTCAACAAGCTGAGCGAGTTTGAATATGCCAAGTAAGTTTAGCAAAATTTTAAGAAGGAACTTGGAGATCATTGCGATGTGGTGACAAGTGATGAATCGTGGTTGTATCATAAACTAATTGGTCGAAAATCATGAAATGCTGCCTGGATAGCAAGTGAGGATCCTCCACCGACCATAGTTCGACGTAGTGGTTTTGCCCCAAGAACCTTATTTTGCATTTTCTTTAAGTCAACGGGTGCAATTTTAATCCATTCTACTAAACACAGACAAACCATTCGATTATCATTATGACATTAATAATTGTTTACAGCCAGTTGTTGACGAAATCAAAAATCAATGACCTTCCTGTGGTACTCGTGCAATTAAACTTCGTCAAGATAATGGGAAATCACGTATTCATGAAGATGTGTTGAACTATTTTGAATCGAAAGGTATAACAATAATGCCACATGCACCTAATTCTGCCGATCTGTCTTCATGTGACTTTTGGTTATTTGACTTGATCAGATCAAATAAAATCTTAGTGATCAAGATGACTCTGAATTGTTGCATGAAGCTGTAAATAAGTTTATGAACTCGTTGAAAAAAGAAGAATATAGAAAGACTTTTGATAAATGAATCGGACGAATGGATTTATGTGTAAACAATCAGGGCGACTATTTTGAACATTGAATGAAATAAAAACTACGTGGAATTACTTCCATATTTGTTTTTTGTCGTGCCACTACAGTTTTTACTATGTATTCAATAGTGTAATCTGGCCTGAATAACTAAGAAATATTGTAGAATTATAGAGCTTGATTCTGGCTATCGTTATATAAAAAAGAGAAATTTTTCTAAAGGTTCTGTAAGAAACTACAGTATCAACGCCACTACTTTTGATATGCTCTAAGTAGTTCAAGACAGTTAGGAGAACAGGTGTTGTTCAGAGAAAATGGCATGAAATTTTGCAGTACGATAATCATTCATTAAGAAGAAGATGAGGGTGTAGGTGGCGACTAGAGTTTATCAACATCCACATCATATTTCGTTTCATGGTAAAAGAAAATGTCTAGAACAATCGAAAATTCCTTATCAAATAGTCTTGACTTGGAAACATTTCAGGCAAAGATAGTTTCATAAAGAAATCTGTCAAGTTACGTTACATGCGTGAATTTTGCTCGTTCAAGTCAAATCAAGTCATCCTTGACCTGACACGCGTCCAGTTGAGTGTGGGTGTAGTAGTAAGAAGATCGGGTCTACGAATGATGCGCACGACGAAAGTTGCGCACGGAACGGAAAATGAGGGTTTCAAAGCAGAACGAACCGTTTCAAGTTCACTGCCTTCATCATCATCTTCGCCCTCACCCTCAGTTACATCCGCACCATCATCCGCACTTCACAGCCTCAGCCAGAGCCCTCAGAGTCTCCGTGCGCAAGTTTCGCCGTGCGCATCTTTCGGGATCCCAGAAGATCAACTCCTACACTCACATCCATCCATGAAGGAAGAACAAAACGAATATGAATGAGTGCTAGATGCCATATAACCATTATTTAATCGTTACCGTGACTTTTTAATAACATATATTTACTTTAATCATTTTTACTTTTGTATGATGAGCATGGGATGATATAGAAGAAGCAGCAATTCGTGTTAAATTGTAAATTCACGTACTTTGATTTATTTTCGTTAATTTGTTTCTTCTAGAGAAAAATAAAACCAATATTTGCTATTCATCAAATATATCTGTGTTTTGTTTAGTGAGCCAACTGCATAACAAATTATAGTTCGTTTATATTTTGAAGATTTTTGGTATTTTGGGGTGTGGAGTATGGGTGTTGGTCTGATATTCATCCACATCCACACTCATACCCCAACTCACTCACACACGCCCACCCTTAAAACAAACGATAATTTGTACATTTTGAATGATTTGTTATTTTATAAAATCAAACATATGTTTCATAATGTCATTGCATGTTGTGTTATCGAACCACAGATTTATAATTCAAATAATTTTCTTTCTTTTGGCTTTGAATATTTTTCGTATAAATGATTCATTTCATAAAACAGAAAAACACTTTTATTCAATTAGTAAGTTGAATTCAAAAACAAAATAGAGTTTGTCTCGTAATTCAAATTAATTTATGAGTTTTTTTGTAGATGAAGTCTTTTGATACTTCACTATCGAAAATACTTTTTTTATGTTAATAAAAAGAAATCAAATGAAAAAGATTTCTTCCTCATTTATTAAGTGTTAAATTTTTTATGATTTTATAAATTATTAAATAAATATATGATGTACATATAATATCAACTGACGAAATGCCACACCTAATGTTGAAGTAAAGAAAGCAATTGTGAAAATTTTTTGAATATCGAAAACAAAAAAATTTTGACGTACACAGGGTGTAGTGTGGGTGATTTTGAAGGAATAGAACATAAACACCTACATCCACATCTCAAATATTGCAATGTTCGATAGTGAACGGAGACGGTTAAAATGCTTACTAGTAACATTTATACATAGAAAGAGTAAAACGGTTGGTGAAATTTTAAGAATGATAATTATACTTTTATTTTTTTTTGTTTATAAAATAATTAATATGAAAAACTATACGATAAGATCAAGCAATTATGTAGAACAATTGTACAAAGAGATATTTTAAAGATTTTGATATAGTTGTGCTATTGATACAAATGATTCGGGTAAATGTTTTAAACAAACTGGTAATGGAGAGTATTCACCGGCTGTTGTTGTATTCTACAAGAAAAAAAGATGTATAGAGAAAAATTCAAGTTAGTTTTCTTTTTAATTTAAAGACGAAAAGGCTGCTTTAGTCAGACGAAAATTTTCCAACGACGAATTTGCATTTTGAAATAAAAAGAAAAGGCATATTCATTCTTACGCATGACAATTGAATAGGCTTCATTTTGAATAGAATTTCTGTATTCATTGCTCTTGTCATTGAATCTGATTCGATCGCACAACTAGCACATTGCTCCATATTAGACAAAAACGAAAGATCATAAATTGGTTCCTAAGAAAATTTCTTGTCTTCATAAAAAGAAAAAAGAAAAGAAAACATCTTGTTCATCTTACCCGACACATTTTATATAACAAATAAAATAAATCCATATTAAGAATAAGTTCTTTCGTCGCACGTGTTGCTGCAACATAAAGTATATTTAAATTTTCTCGATGTTCATCAAGAGATATTTGTTCAAGTGGTAAATCACTTGAACGTGGAAGAAAATCATCAGCTAATATAACAATAGGAAATTCTAATCCTTTTGCTTTATGTGCTGTTGAAAGAACGATTTCTGAACATGAACACATATTTCAATATAATTAATCAATGAAAATAAAATAAAACACTTGCTAGCTTGATTTATATCTGAACAAGATTTTTCTTGTAGATGTTTGATTTTATCAATTAATGAATGACCATGAAATTGAACAAGTTTTATTTTTCCTAATAATTCACCATCAGCAACTTCTTGTGAAAATTTTTCCAATGTTTTAAATGAAGAAAACGATTGTAATTGAGGATCTTTTATTTGATAATTTTCTTAGAAATATGTAAAATAAGAATATTATTCAAATAATATTTATTAAAATATTACTTTTTCGTCGTTCCTCAGGATCAAGCCAAAGAAAGAATACATCAAGAATTTTGTCAAATCCCATTGCTTGTTTACCCTTACATAACATACAAAACAACATATCATTACACACAAAAAAAAATAGTTTCTTACTCCAACAAAACCGACATGTTTCAATCCTTTATCAATAATAAGTTGTACAGCACAATTAAATAAATTATAATTTGTTCGAAATAGATAAGCTTTTTGTTCATTTGTAACTTTATCAATAGATGCTGATCGACCATCAAGACAACCTAGAAGAATAAAGTTGTTTACTATGATAGAGATGCACTATCCTAGAAGTTAAAATACACACGATCAAGCATTTTCAAGCACAAGAAATTATTTTTCCTAGTGAAAAACTAAACCAGTGCAGTCTATCTAATAGTGTACATCGCATATCGTTCGAAGTTTTTCATAAAAAAAGCTTGTGAATTAAACAAATTTTTTTTCTAGATATTTCAAAGGTTTTTGAAGTTCATTGAAACAGATTAAAAACATGAGCTAGCTTGGTTTTCTATAATCAGCTCCTTTAAAGATCAAAGAACATCGCATCATCATGTTTTGTTACTTTATATGCTCTTCTCTAACAATATTCACCATTGGAACTCTAGATTGAAAAGATACGATTGTCACGCAAAACTATCCTATAGCATTGTATATAGTCGTAAGTTACGATGCATTCATTGTCTATACCTTTAAAATTTTGAATTCAGCAATAAACTCATAGATTAGTAATTATTTGAAAAAACTCAATATTGTTTGTTTGAATATATCTTCACAGCGTTTCCAATGATAAACAGTCATAAAAAAAATGAAAAACATTTTTGGCGTATTTACGAAATAATGAGTAGAGAGTCATGTTGCTTCTCATGGTGAACAGTTTTGAGCAAAAGCAATGATAAAAGATATCGTATATGAAGGTTTATGATCGTTCACAACAGTCATGTACACAACGATCCGATATGTTTGTCATCTTTATTAGAAATGTGCAAGGTAGGGGTAGGGTAAGAGTGTAGATTACAAAAACAGCTTACCCTGCACATCTCTAATTCTCATTCTAGAACATTCTTTTTCAGCGATGATCAATCGTTTTCATTCTTTACATTTGATAATAAAATGAACAGTAAAGTTAATAGAATAATAAGAATAATTACTATTCCTTTTCGATGAAAACACTTACTTGATTTATTATTTCCTACGAGATATTTTTTTTCATTACATAATTTTTGAAGGATAAGATTTGATATAAAAGCTATATCATATCCAAAACGAAATGACTAAAAGAAATTCATATAAAAATACATGTATTATCTCATTTAGAATTGAGCAATATACTTTAGTCAAATAATAAGTAACTGTTGATTCAATTTTCGCCATAGCATTAACAGCACCACGAAATGCATATATTTGTTGATGTTTATCACCAACAAGAATTTTTGAAACACGTTGATTATTAATAATATCAGTAACAGCTATAAAAAATTTAAAAAATACTTGTTTTAATAGAACGAAAAACAATAATGTTTTATTTCTTCTTATACCCGGTGTAAGATCTTGAGCTTCGTCAACAAATAAACAATCATATAATTGAATTTGAGGTTTAGATAATTGATACAATTTCAAATAACCCTATTAAACAAAAAAAAATCAAAACATTAAATTAAAATTTATTTTTTGTATTGTTTTTAATTCAATAAACAAACATCATGTGTCATCAAAACTCGTGTATCTCGAACATTTTTCATAATAGCCCAAATACATCGAGCATCAGCTGCTAAATTCTAAACAAAAAAAAAACGAACAGAAAATATTAAAAAATTTAGAAATCAATATTAAATACCATTTTTTCTTGATGTGTCAAAACTAATTGATTAGTTGATTCACTTGAAGATGATGATGAAGAATTATCAATATGTTCATCTGTTATTTGTGGATCAGCCGAAGCAATAAAATTATTTAATGCATTATAAACAAAACGAGCACGAATGTATAAAGAATTAATAGTTCGACCTTTTTCACCAATTAGTGGTCGTTCATTAACAATATCAACAATACTTTTTACACGTAAATTACCAAGATGACCCTCAAATTGACGACTAAAATAACAAAATTACACTCAAGTATGTTGTATATGTATTTCAAATACCCAATTTTAGCATAAGCAAGTGAATGTATTGTTTGACATTTGACATTAGGTGGAAAAACTTTTTCAGCATAAGTTTGAATGGCTCTATTAAATATTAAAAATCATTTTATAAAATTTTACCTGGAAAAAGAAGACTAAAGCGATTTCATATTTACTTATTATAAGCTATATAAAGAAAGGATTCATCCATTCGTTTAGCTGCATAAGCAATTAATGTTGTTGTTTTACCTGTACCAGCATATGCATTTATTTTCATTGTTTGTCGATTTTCTAAATTATGACATACAATTATTTCTTGTTCAGGTGTTAATAATAATTTTGATAAACTAAACAAAAATAAAAAAGAAATTTAAAGAAACTTTAAAATATTAGTTTATTTACATTGTTGAATAAATTGTATAAGATGAATCAATATTGAGTATATGTTGAGCAATAGAATTGAATTTAATTAATATTTGATCTTCATATTCTTTCAGACAATAATATAAACGATAAGGATATCTAAATAAAATCGAAAAAGCTATTTCATATATTCTATTTATTCAAATTGATAAATCACAAGAAGATTGTTTTATTCAATCTGTTTTGTGATAACATCCATTTACTTAATTCTTCACAAATACAACAAGAAAGTAGCAGCAAGATGTTATTAATATATAGTTTTTAAGAAAAGGGTCCAAGCTTTTATCCTAGCACTCTTCAATATCCGTTTTAGATCCTATTTCATAAAAAACAAAGCTTATTCAAATATATAATTTTGAAATTAAATTTGACTTCGATAATTAATTTAATTAATTTAATCAATTTGACCTCAGACGGAAAGTGTCGATAACAATTTTTTTGTTAACTTTCCGTAACTATAGATGAGACAATATTTTAATTATACAAACCGAAATTGAAGATTGCATAAACGAGTAGCACCAGTAAATAAAGTTAAAATAAAATAAAAGAAATCCAGTATAGTTTCATATTTTAATTGATAAACTGTCATCCAAAGATGAAATAATTTACGTAGAGATTCAATATTATTAGATAATATATAAATAGCTGTTGTCATACAAAGTGGATTATAAATCTATAGTTAATTAACTAGAAAACATATTAAATTTATTTTGTTATTTACCTGTTTAGTTGAAGTCGTCAATAGAAATTCTTGTTGAAGTTTATTTTTTGATAAAAGATCAATAGCATATTGATATGTTGAATGTTTTCGTAGTTGTTTATCAAGTTGAACAAGTGTTGATAATGGAAATTTAAATTGTATTGTTTTCTCATCAATAGGATTGTCAAGCATAATGGCAGACACTCGTCTTTATAAAATGATAAACAAATTAATATTAGTGTTAGACTTCAATGAGTTCAGACATAAGTCGCATTTATACAAAAATCTCATCAACTTTTAATGTATCTTCGATTTTCTGACTATATATCGTATGGCTAGAAATGAGGGAGAATCTCAAGATGAAGATTAATCGAAACAGAACCGACACTACGAGAAAAAATTCTCCGAATCATAACTTGAAATTGTTGTTGAACAATATCCCACTATATCAAATTCAATGGACCCCTAACGTGGAAAGTTCTTCAACTGCTTAATCACTTTTTTGAGTTGAGACTATGTGCATTATGTAGATTCAAATGATCTAAATGTCGTGATCCTTCTCAAAAATATACCTTTATCAGAGTAGCGTATTAGAAAAGCTTCAGATTTTTTGATTTGATCTGTAAAAATACGCAGTCTCGACTGAAAAACGATTGAACAGTTATAATAAACACGAGTCAATTTTTTTAAATTGATTCATCTAACTATGTTTAAACATCGTATTGTTATTAGACTTTTGTTAAGTAACAAACTACATACTGAAGAATACTTTGAAGAACATTATCGGAATTATTAATCATTCGATCGATCATTTTTAATGTTGTTGTTTCTTCATATTCATAACGTAAATGAATTTTAGCCCATCGAAGAAACTATATATGAAAAAGTTTATACATATCAAAAGAAAAATATCATCAAATAATAAAACTAACTTTTTCATCTCGAATTGCAGTATACCATTTTCGACATACTCTAGCAATTTGTGTTATTAAGGGTTTAATTGGAATATATGAAAAGATATGTTGAATTATTTCTAAATAAGAAAAAAGAAAACTTAATCGTAATAATTCGATATTTTTGAAAAACTACCTATTGGTAAATTAAGCCATGGTGGAGGTGGAGATGTATGATTTACTTTTAAAGTTGAATATGTAGTAGTTGATACAACATCTTGAAAAAGATTTGTTTTTTTCGTTCGTTTCTTTTCAATTGTATTGGTATTTGTAAATGAATTTGTTAATTTTCTTTTCGTTGTATTTGTATTAACTTGTGAAAATCTGTTTTGTGTTGTCGGAATAAAATCATCTTGATCTGTATCTTCTATTGAATTATTAATAAGTGCAGCAAAACGACCTAATGAAGGTCTTTGTTGTGTTGAAATATTTTGTTTATTTCCTAGAATATGATTAAAATATAAAAGAAAAATTAATTACATATATATATTTACTCACCTTTTTTAAACATTGTCAAATGAATATAGAGAGAAAGAAGATTCTAACTTAATCAATCATTGGTACATTTTAAATTTCATACTGTTTCAATAACGAAAAGAAAAAGGAAATAGCGCCATCTCTTTTACTTTAAATTTGTTTGGATATATTTCGATCAATGTTAGCAAATATTAAAAGAAGATTTCTTCCTCAACATCATCGTTGTTTTGGAAAATGGATAGTAAAAGTAAGATTTCTTTAGAAAGTATTTTCTTGTTTTTGATATAAAAACAAAATACTCTTTTAAGGTGAAGAAATAAGTTCAATATTTGAACGTTTTCGTCAATATCTTACGACAAATGATATAAATCTATTATTAAATGAATTTAATCATTATCGTACAACATGGTCAACAAATAAATTTCGTATGTTTTTAACTAATACACTTGTTGTTATGCGAACATGGGCTGATAATCAAAAACAAACAATTAGAACTGATCAATTTGAAGATTGGGATACCGAAGAAACACCAACAACGAATTCAACAAGTGATAAAATGAAAGTATCTGCTCATTATTTATTTATAAATATTGTGGATTATTTACAATCAGCTGTTAAATCAGGACAATCAGATCGAATGACAGCAGATGTTGAATTTGATATGTGGAAACGTATTGTTACAAATAAATGGACAATGAATGAAAAGGTATCATTTTTTTTTAAGGAATATTATTCATAGTATTTTCTTTTCAAAATTAGATGAATGATATTTATGAAGATTTGTTCATCGAAATGAAAAATACTACTTTGACATACTATTATTGTTTAAATCAGCATTTAGATATATATCAAAACTGTTTAAATCGTTTCTATCTAATGATACTAGAGAATCTGAAAGAATTTTCAAAATCAATAAGAGAATCAGTTTTTTTTTTCTTTTTAAATAGTATTAAGAAATCAATCAAATTGAAGAAAACGATCATAGTTGTTTATTTTTAGTTTTATACCTATCTCTATAATACAAATATATGTTTACCAACTCGTTTAACACGTTCACTTCATAATGATATGTATAATTTTTATATTTCAACAGAAAAATGGTCATCATCAACAAAAATTCTTTTAATTGAATTAGGCTTTATTTATTTATTAATTCATGATAATGTATTTCTTGGTTGTAATCATATTCTAACTGCATGTACAATTTTTACTCTTGATGATTATATTACTTTAACAAAATATAGTCAAATAGATCCATTAAATTATCAAACAAAATTAATAACATCAATGAATACACCAGAAAAAATGAAAGTTTTTCTAGATTATTATCCAAATGTTGATTTATCTGAATTAATATCGGGTAATAGTGAACTTTATCAACAACGAATGCCATTAACAATATTTGATAGACTTTTAAAAATGGAACCATTTTATTATGAAACAACTGATCATATATTATTAGAAAATACACCAAATTTTACATCGATCAATACTAATGTTCGATCAGCAAATATGTTATATTTATTTCAAAAACTTATTTGCAACGGAGCTAAAGTGTGTAATTATAATTTCTTGATGTAGAAGCATATTGGAAAGAAATGTATATGTGACGTTATTCTCAAACATCTATTTCGAGTCAGATCATGAGCAAAACTATTTAGAGCAGCTTCTTGATGAACTAATAGAGATGTTTATTAACATTTTTTTTTTCAGTTTACAGATATGCTATGAATTCGCAATGATTCTATTAGAAAGACTAAACACCTCCTGGTAATAGAAAATATTCTCTTAATTTATTTATTTCTCAGAAACTTTGAACTTTTCGTTATGATATTCATATTAAAATATGTCTACTTTTCAGAATTTCGAACTCAAAATCTTCACATTCAACATTATTTTTGAACTTTTAAAAACTATTTGCTAAATTTTCAAAATAGTTTTGTATTCCTCAAACATCTGTCTTAGTTAGAAATTATGAAGAATGATCATTTTTAAAACAACTAATGAAGAAATTTCAATCAAATATAAAATAATTAATTGATTATATTTCTTTTTTCTTTTGTAGCTTTCAATAAACCTTGATAGTGCTTATTATCAAAATCATCGAATTCCATTTTTTGTTTCTACACTTGGTTTTTACCTTCTGTCAATGATCCGTTATCGTGATATATTTATTGTTCCTTCATCGGATACAGCAAATGATAGTGATAATGATATTCTACCTAATTCATTAACAAAAATTAAAATAGATCAAAATTTAAGTCCAAATTATTTTGATTCACTTAATAATAATTATATTTATTATCTTATAAAACGTACATCAACATTTTCTCCATTATTTCGTTCATTTTTTCTCAATCATTTATATTTATCTTGTCCATTATTACATAAATCTCAATTTATAAATCATAAAAATTCTATAAAAAATATTCGTCTTCGTTCATTATATGATGAAATATTTGAACAACGAACATTTCTTACACTTAAACAACGTTGTCGATTAATAATTAAAGAATCAATAAATAAATATCCATTAGATATAAAAAATTTAATACAATTACCATTGACACTTCAATATTATTTATCATTTGATTTTTTAAATCCAAATTTTGTTCAAATAACATTAGATAAATTAAATAATGTTGATGCTAGAATTAAACCATTATTTTTTGATGAATTACAATTTCATGAGCATGATCTAGAACAAATTAATGGACATAATGATTGGGAAGATCAAATACCTGAAGATGTTGATTATGATAATGAACATGATAATGATGATGAACCTGTAAAATGATTTTTCTTTTATATAAATATGTTTCTATTCTAGTTGTATTTTTTTTTATTACAGGATTATGATGAAAATGATGAAGATGCTGATCTTTTTGATGAAGAAGGACTTTATTCAAATAACGACGAAGAAGATGAATGGTGATTGATTTAGAAAGTCAGATTGCATAAAATTTGTTTGTTATATAGTTGCATATTGCTTTGTTTTGAAGAAGCCCTTTTTTTCTGTATCGTTTTTTTTTTTTGTATTTGTATTTCGACGAAAAAGAATGCAAAATAGACTTTTGAATTTTAAATATTGATATTTTATATTGGCATGCATTTAATGCAATATCTAAAAATATAGCAATCTATATCTAAATTATATCAATATTTCCTAACTTAATACAGTAATATCTATTCCGGTGAAAGAATACTTTAAAAAGATTGTTTAATCTAATTTTTTAATTAAACATCTTTTAAATCAATTAAATTTCTGAATAAAAAAAATGTTCTGTCTTTTAATTTAATATGTTATCACTTTTAACAAATGACTATCAATCAATTTATCGAATTATCTAATTAATTTGAACGTAATCTATAATTGATTAGTACTTATCAATTAATTGAAAGAGTATATATGAGCTAGGAATGACAATAAGTGATAAGAAAAAAGTCAGTTTAAAAAATATAAAAAAATATACCATTAAAAAATTCTTTAATTTGAGCAAGTCAACACAAGGATCAAAAAAATTTTTTTGTTTTTTAATAAATGAATTTTTATTTTTATTTTTTATTTTTTTTATTATTTTTCAATTAATGAATAAATAAATATAAGATAAACAGGAAAAAATAAAAAATAAAAATTCATTTATTAAAAAACAAAAAATTTTTTTGATCCTTGTGTTGACTTGCTCAAATTAAAGAATTAATTAGATATAACTTTGTGTTGTTAGGTAATGTTACTTAATAAATTAGATATAAATAAATTTTAAAATTAGCTATATGATTTTCATAATTAGATATAAATTCATCCTATATTAGATATAAATTTATTTAAAAATTAGATATAGATTGCTATATTTTTAGGTATTAGTTTATATTTACCCCTTTTATATTTATATGGTTTTAATACGTATCTATTTATGTATGACTATGTTGCATATAAATTCTATTGGATGACTAATCAGGAAACTATTCTCAGTGTCAAGTCACTCATAAGTTGGGACTGTGCACATCATGTAGGTTGTAATGAATTGTGAACAATCTGAAAAGAGTTTCAACAAATAGTTTATTACTACCGAGTTACTGTATTATGCATTATTGAGAGTAGTTTATTGTAAAAGTTTCAGATCTTTTGATTGCTTCTATCCTAAGATAAGACTATGATAAAAGCATCTTTTTTTCTTTCGGCACTCATCTACAATGGGCAATGTCAATGCTCTTATCACAGAATAGGTTTGATCGAAAATTCTGAAACTTTTAAAATAAGCTATTCTTGTTAGAGAGTGTCTCTATGGAAAAATTAAGGCTAAAGTTTAGTTGTCCTGGTGTTCCTTAGAAGTACTACAGATGGTAAAAATACATCATCTCAGTAAGAATTAACCATTAGTCGACACTTTTTCAGAATATTCATAGCTCATTAGAACATATGATGTACATAGTTCCGATTCAAAAGTGATCTTACAGTGAGAAACGTTCTCTCATAAGTATTGTTCTATGTAGAGTTTTATTAGAATGATTATTCAGAGTATGAATATTTAAATTTACGACTCACGAGTCAAGTCTTCCAATTGATAAATCGCTTTTCAGTCGAGACTACGTCTTTTATGCAGACCTGAATGAACTATGAATATTAAAAAAGGAGTTGTGCTCTTATCAGATTGTTACGTAAATATTATATTTATAAAGTTGTTTTAAGTGAATAATGTGGTGGTTGTGAGAAACATTAGGAAAATTGATTTTTGGATATCAACTTTTTTGGTATTTTTAAGAGAGAACACGACATTCATTTAACAATATCGTAAAAGTGCAGTGTCTCCGCAGCAATGGGTTAACAGTATTAATTCTTTTCACAATATTCATAGTTCATTCAGGTCTACCTAATGCACGTGGTTTTGACTGAAGAGTAATTTATCAATTGAAGAACTTCCTTTATTAAGTTATCTTTTGAGATTTCTCTTTGTAAATACATACAAATATTGTAACACTATACTATGACATACAAAAATAATCAATCGAATTTATTCAATTATCAGTGTGGCTAAGAAAAGTAAATGCATTAAAATAATTTGAATGAAATATTTTTCAATAAAATAAACTGTCGTGATCTGATCATCATTTTTTGAATGACATTAAATAAAAGAATAAGTCCGGTATTATGTGATATTCTACAGTAGTAGTACTTTTGGTACTCAACAAAATAATTCAAAATCGATGAAATGATTCCAAAAGTCGGCATTTGGCGCTATCTATCATAAATAGTGGTCTAGATTACATCATTGATTTGCTCATCTTTCAATCGGACCGTTGATTCCAAACATTTCATCTCAAAAAAAATTTTCAATAATAAAATCATTTGTTTGTTTTTCTCTTGGATAAAAGATTCAAATAATGTCTAATCTAACATCATTATCACCTGATAAAAAAAACAAAAAACGTCCATCTGTTTCTTCAAAATGTTTATTAAATATAAAATCTATCGTTGCTCACAATGTTTCAGCAAATAGTAACAATAAAACTGCATGTCTACATTCGCCAACATCCATACTTCCACCATTGCCATTAGTCAATTCATTAATATCATCAAAAGATTCTATCAATAATTTAGATAATACAAAAGAGATTGAAGAAAAAAGCCGAAAAAAATCACAATCATTTCCAAATAAAAATATTCTTATTGAATGTATACAAAAATCTGATTTACACAACACATCTGAGAAACAAATTATAACAACAAAGTACAATTCAATCTTTAAAAAGAAATGAAACTTTTTATTTAACTTTTCATCTTTTGTGTAGTGAACATAATCGAACACAATTTGAAAATAGTAAATCACAATCAACGTCTATTGAATCACCTCAAGTATTAATCAATACAATAGAACAAGAAAGTAAGTCTAATAAATCAATTTTTATTCGAATAAACTTTTAATTAAAGAATTACCATCAAGTATGCCTGCGAACATTTCTAAGGAAACGAATTATGCACAATATTCTTCTCAAATATGTAAGTATATTAATATTAACTAAAATATTTCGTACGTTTTCCTAATGAAACTTTATTAATCATTAAAAAATAAGCATATTTCGCTTGGTAATTTCCGTACCATATTGTCATTGGTTAATGGAAAATAATGATGATTCTTTATTCTCTTATCTATACATATGTATGCTGATATGTGTATATTTTTTTCTCTTTTGAATAATCATTCTGACTAAAAGATAGCTCTATATACTGTTCGTTGTATTTTATCTTCGGTAAAATAACACGAAAGTAACCGCTAGGATCTTTTATATATTATGTCGAACATTAGTTTAGGGCAGTTGTATTTTCAAGTTTTTGGTTCGATGGTAATAGGAAGAGAGAATCTGAAACAACATTTGAATAGCTAAGATGATCCTATGTTAGGAGTTGTGGATCTAAAAAATTTTGTTGTTATGAAATATTTCGATAACGTCATCGTATTTGACGCTTTGGTGCCTTCTATAAATTGAATGCGATTCGGCGAAGAAAGGTCACTAACAGTTCGAAGATATTTTATTTTATTAATAAAATCTTTCAAGTTCTACCTCAATGGAAAAGATACAAATCTTAGATCTTGGAAAAAAATATAATTTTTAAAATCTTCATTTCAGCTTTACAAATGAACAAGAACGAGCCATCTATCATTCCACCTCTTCCATTAAACTGCTCCATATATCCTTTTGGTTCATCTTCATCTTCTAATCGTACGAAATCATTAATATCATTTCCTACTCAATCATCAAATCGTATAAATGAAGAATATTTAACACAAATGCATCATATTATTGAATCATCAGATAATTTAAGCGAAACTAAACCCAATGAACGTTCTATTCTTCATTGTCAACCAATACCTATACACAGATTTGATTCTACATCACCAAGCATTTCTACGTAAGTATAAACAAAAAAAAAAAAGATATGAAATGTTTCATTGGGTTTAAGATGTGACACAATTAGTTTATATACAGACAGAATAATCTGTAACCAAATGTGTAGATCACCTATTCAGAATTGAGAAAATAAATCTGCCATATTGTAGAGCAAGTCGAAAGTGCGTTGAATGATCTATAGTAAATTTGAGTCTCATAAGACTTTGAAGGAACTAGAAGCAATTTACCGATAGATGACTATGCATCCAGAGAAGGATCAGTTACTGATCATGTTGAATCCGTGATATCAGTCGAAAATGTTTGTGAAAAAGAATTTCTTATTTACAATTCTGTAGAGCTTTTCACAGGCTGCAAATTTTTATACTTAACATCTTCGATTCTCTTCCCTTTGATAAATACAATGAGATGTTTCGATTATTTGCCATAGCTTTTCATTAATGGTGAGTCGTCGTATCCTTAGTAGTGTCGATCATTGACGATGTAACCAAACGCTAAACTTTCTCAGAAATTGTCCATAATGTAATGCTACAAAACACACTATTCTGAGGTTGAAATGTACGTGTAATTGAAAAAGAAGATTCACACCATACCATCCTACTTTCAGAGTTCTGCATTGATACCTTAATCCGATAGTGTCCTTCATAACAATAATATTATTTTGTCTTTTTTTTTATGACATTTTTTCTAAGCATTGAAGTTTGTTTTTTTATGCTATTTCATATTCAAAACTTTATCGTATCAAATATCTTTACATATAAATATATTACTCGACCTCTACTATTCATATATATAGTCAGATTAAATTAATCTTATATAGTTTGCATACATGACTCAAAACAAAACAAAAAAATAATGCGAAACTTTTGAGGTACACTACAGTTAAATGAAATCTTTTGTTAATCAATTGGAAAAAATCTATCCTTACATTATTACAAGAGAATATGTCATTGGAAAGATTAACATAAAGATTCATATAAAAACATTCTGTTAGAGATTATTCTCTATCTGTATATCAACTAGTTATTGTCTAGCTACAAAACATATGAAACATCCTATTTGTATCTTTTCCTTTCTTTTTTAGTCTTGATGAAGATGAAGATGATTATGGTAATTTAAGTCAATCAATTATTATTGTTAATAGTTCATTAAATTTACCAGAAGATCGAATAACTTCTGCTCAAACTTTAACAATGAAATCACGTTTAAGTGAACGTACGGAAAAAGAATATAATAACAATCGAAGAATAACCATGAATAGTTATGAGTCAAGTCCATGTTTTCCAAAAAGTTATACACGTCTACCACATTCATTACGTAATATCAATTCTTCATTTAACCATCCTTCACCATCAGGAACAATTCGATCACCAACATTTATTACTGCTCCTATTCGTCGTCAATTTCCTCAATTTGAATCTGTACGTACACCTGTACAAAAGTCATCAATGATCAAACAAGAATCTTCATCTACAATACCTTCTGAATTATTTGATTGTTGTCAAACGTAAATTTGTTTAATCTATTATATATATATATAAATATTTAATTACAAATATTTTCAGTGAAACAGTTTGTTTAACAACAGAAATAATTACAACACAACGTAGTATTAATCAAAGAAATTCTCACCGACAAACAATAGCAACAACAACAATTGAAACTAGTTTAAATGAATCCGAAGCTCGTTCAAATTATTTTCGTGATGTAGCAAAAATACGTGAAATAATGATTGATGTATCGAAACGTTTAACAAAAGACAATGATTCATTAACAAAATTGCCTATTGTTGATACTCATTGTCATTTTGATCTTATCTTTGATCGGTAGAGATTACTGATAAATTTTTTTTCTTTTTATTTGAAATATGTTTTTTTTTGTTTTTAGTCTTCGTATTAAACATAATAATTTAAAAAAATATTTTACTGATTATAATGAGTATTATCCATTGGGTCTTTCATTTGAATTAGCTATTCAAGTTTTTTGGCGACCAAAACATTTAACTGAAAGTAAAATTCTTTTATTTTTAATTAGATTGATATATATATGATTAGTCTTTTCAAATAGATAATTGGATAAATTGGTATTCAAGATATTTAGATGATGAACGTGTTTATGGTTCATGTGGTATTCATCCTCATTGGAGTTCAGCATGGAATGAAACATCAGTTGACGATATTGAACGATGTTTAAAACATCCAAAAATTGTTGCCATCGGAGAAATTGGTTTAGATTTTGGACCAAAGTAAAATTATTTATACTATTTAAAAACAAAATTTTTTTGATTTTCAATTTAAGAAATACATGTTTAATACATGAACAACGTCGAGCTTTTGAAGCACAACTTAAATTAGCTGCTAAATGGTTAAAACCAATTGTTATACATTCTAGAGATGCTTATCAAGAAACATTTCAACTTATGAAACAAGTAAATAATTGTTTTCAATTTTAACTCTCATGTCACTACCTAAAATCCAGACGAATCTCAGAGAATTTCATTTTTAAGATGTCATCAGTTGATCGATTTTAATCATTATTAATATGATATAGCAAATTCTAAGTAAATGTGAACACTTCTTCACCATCTTAAGTCTTCCTAGCATCCATCTTACGGTTTTTATTTCGATGTTAACATTTCAACTCGAATACAATTGAAAATTTACCACTCATCATGTTAATTGTCATGTTTCTTGCTGTTCAGTTCATCACGAAATCCTTTGTGAATCATGTCTGCATATGTTTTAAGGCTATGAGAAAAGAACAATTAGATAATGAAAAAAAAGATTAATAAACAGTACTTATATGATTGTGTATTTCATCGTCGAAATATAAATCATGGAATTTTGACAAAGAGTGTGCGGACCACTTAGATAAACTATTTTTCTCTTGAATCGTCTTGCATCTTATGAATTTCAGATGGAAACCATGCTACTATTTTTTAAATGGTGATATGAAAGCTCATTAAAAAAAAACAAACTATCCTATGTCCTTTACATCAAATATGCAATTGAAATATTATTAATTATTATAAAGAATAATTATTGATTCATTCAAAGATGGATTTACTTCTAATTTTCACAATCTTTTTTTTTAAATAATTTTGTTTTTTTAGTATCTTGAACCTGATCATAAGATTCACTTACATTGTTTTGTTGGAACAATGGATGATGTTGAACTTTTCACATCATATTTTACTGAAATAAAATTTGGTTTTACTCCAATTATAACTCGTAATAATTTTCTTAATACAACTATACAACAACTTGAATTAACACAAATTTTATCCGAAACTGATTCACCTTATTTTACACCTGAAGAAGTATAAAACATATATTTATCCTAGAAGAAAAACAATCTTGATCATATCATTCATCTTTCTATATTTTAGTTAACGACATTTTCTCGTTGTGCACATCCTGGTATGGTTTACAGTGTTGTTGAAATGGTAGCACAACTTCGAGATTTACCTGTGATGGATGTTGCTTGTCAATTAAGAGAAAATGCTCGTCATATTTATGGTGTTTAATTGAATGTATGAGCAATTATTTCTTTTTCTCTCTCATTGTGTTCGACAGTGTGTATGTCTCTTATACGTCAAACGATCTAGTCGATTTTTGTTTGTTGATTTGTTCGTTTTCTGTTTCTTTTTTTTTTTGTACGCAAATTTTCATCTTCGTTCTTTTTGATTGATCGAGTATTACTTACTTGTTCACATGAGGGTCAAATTAAATATAGTTCATTTAAAAAAAGGGCATGATCTCAAAAGGAAATAATTTACTTTCATTTATTAAAAAGAATGCTTGCATAGAATTTTCCTCATTTTCTTTCTAATTAATTTTCATGAAAATAATCAAGCATTTGAAAATTTGTTATGTTGAACATATTTTAATTTCGAAGTCAAGAGATTTTTTTTGTTGAGTAATCTAGGAAGAAAAAACATGATCATATGTAGAGATTAGATATGTCCGAGAGCACACGAAAGAGAAATAGCTAAGACCAGGACTGGAACTAGAAGAAAAAAATTGTCTCAACGGAAATTAAAGATTATAGTTAAATATTCTATAGTTTTAAGCGGAATATCGTTCAAATCATATGAATCAGTACATAATTCAAGAGAAATGACCTAAAAAAGTGCTAGTCGTTGACTAAATAAATAAAAAAAAAGGAATATTGTAAAAATTTTTAGATGTAATACAAATAAATTTTTGAAATTGTTGTCTTCTAGGCCGAGACTGAAACCCAAAAAACTTGATCCCGTACATCATTAATAAGAATTCTAAGAGTTATCAATAAAAACTTGCATACAGGATAAAAAAAATAATATTATATTTTGAAAAGTAATAAAAATTCAAAACAAGTAAGATACTGGAACGAAGGTCATTCATAATAAATCTATAATCTTTAAATGAATCTGTCATATGTATTAAGATCGTAAGACATACACAGATGAATAAGTATATTGTTGAATAAATCATAAATGATAATGACTAGACTTAATTTATTATACTTAAATATTATTAAGAAAAGTTTACTTTAAAAATAAGAAGTTTTGCTTATACAAAAATGATGAGTGGCAATGGATATAACTTACTCTCAGTTATATTCAAGTATCTGTAATCTTGTCAAAATGATTAATATTATAAGAGATTACCTGTTTTATGTTATTAAATTGTTATTCATCCATTCAAGTTCATCAAACCAATGGAAAAACTTATTTGATTTCTTGAAAAACATATAATTTTTATTTGTCATTATTGAATATTTATATGTAACTCTATTCAGTTGGTGTCTTTCTGCTTCTAAAATTTGACTATTTTAACTTAATATACATTTGTTGATGATATTGGAATGCAACACCATGTTGTTGCCGAACATCATATCTGTCGATACATACATAAATGCTTTTTTCATCACGATAATACATGTTCATATTTCTGATAATTCATTTTTCTTGTCAAATGTTTCATTGTTATCTATAGATGAGTTTTCATTATGTGATTTATTTTCAAGTACAAGAACTTGCTCATGTTTTCACTTCTATGCTTTTATATAAAGTAGCGATTCGAAAAAATAGTAATAATTTGAAACGACAAAATCTCATCGATAGTTGTGTCAGGTGCCGTATATTTGATCGGGTTGCAGATCAATAATTCATAAATCGAGAAAGTAGCTAGATAAGACCTCGACAAAGTTGTAAGCCAGATTTAGGGTATGACGTAGTCTCAACTTCCGAATCTTTAATATCGAGAAATGTTTATATCTTCGATACGATTCATTCAAAAGTAATTTCTTTACTTATTGATGTTTACTTTTTAAAAGTATTGTATATGGTTTTCATTTTCTTGACATGAGAAACAAAATCTTCTTTCAATTAGAAAATTGAAAACAAAAAACATTTTCAAGAAAAAACATCCATGATATGATTATTATTAAAATCTCAATGAATACGTATCAATTCTCTTTCGTGCTGAACGAACACTCACTGTACTGACAATTTAATTAGCATTATTATTAATCATGCTTTAAAATCAATTGTTCTTCTAGTTGAGTCTGTAACTGTTTTCATTTTAATTGTCTCACATGATGAAAGAAAAAGGACCTAGACAAATTTACCTTGAGAAAACAAATGATGTCGATTAGATCTTGATATTTTCATTTCTCGTTCGAACAAATATTTTCTGACATTTCATTTCTCCAGATCACCACCACACCTAATGATCATTTTTTATGTGTACGTATAGAAAGAAAATACATGACGAACTAACCATATATGTGCTTCGCACCTACAAGAAAAAAACTAGCGACGGTTTACATCAATATAGTACTTCATATCATATCAAAAGAAAGAAAGAAAGACAAAAGAACTTTCAACGAACTATATATACTATGAACGTTATGTGTTGCAATGCATCATTTATGTACGGCGAGTTCTTTTTTTCTTTATTGATTTACATACTAGACATACACAACCACAGTCGACATTTTGGGGATGTGATGATCTCAAAAATGAAAATTCATAAAATATTTATTGAAATGCCAGGTGAGAATATCGAGATTGAATCGATAATATTCATTAGCCGATCTTTAATCGAAAGTTTCAATAGTTTGCAACGACTCCAGCAAAAAAAAACCAACTTGTTTGTTGATATTGTTTCTTTCAACATTCTAGATAATGCAAAGAAAGATTTAACATATGAAACCTGTGAATATAGTTGATGAAAGAGAATCATTGACACACATAATTAAAGAAGCAATTGAGGAAGGCTGATAGAATTCTTCTAGTAACAAGGTATAATTTTTTTGTGATTACATCCACAAATCAGCAAAACTCACAATCCACTCAGCTTTAAGTATTTTTTTATCCCAAACACTATTGTATTGCTGAATTGTTGAAGAGATTATTCATTGTTTATGAATGATTGTTTTCTCTATAATTGATATTTAAAGTATTTGTGCAGCATTCTCTTGAAGTTCAAGTGGCATTCGAGTGTCATCAAGTGTACATAGTAATAGAACTTTGAATATTTTTGTTCGATGTGTAATTTACTAAGACATATCAATTGTGAGCGAACACATTAGTACAAATTTATGCACTGAGATCATGTTCAAAAATTCAATATGTATGAAATATCAGAAACAATGGCATGATCAAAAATTTTAACTATTGTTAACAAAATAAAAAAATATGAGTATTTTTATTCTTATGTCAATGTTATTTTAATGATCATCCGTATCAATTATGCTTGGATTTATTCTAACTAGTCACGACATAATTTCTGTCAGTGAAGTATATAAAATCTATAAAAACATGATACTTATTACTCGTATTGATTTTTTTTCTTATTTAGATTTATATCGTCGATGAAGAAAATGCATTTCATATAACAGAATGAGAGAAAAAACACAAAATTATTTTATTTTTTAGTGTTAAGCAAGAAGAAAAATAGAATTATTGTTAGCCATGAGTATAGTATTTATTTGCCTTTCTTTTTAACAGTAAGTTATAGGTTAAGAGAAAATATTCCTTCGTCTATGAATATGTGTATTTTCTATTTGACTAATTTCTCTATGAGAACACTGCAATGAAGAAATATGATGCATTTTTTATTATACGTATTTGAAAATAGATGTTCGACATTTTAGTTTATTGATTTTATGATATGAACGGTTAGTTCTCGTTTCATCCAAAAATAAATTTTTCATCCATTCCCGTTTCGTCGAAAAGATGAATTCTAACTAATCAATGAAGCATGGATTATATCCTTTGATAAGATTTCTTCGTCATATCAATCAGGAATAGCGCCTATTTACTGGGTGGGGAGTGTTTTGAGCACCAAAAAAGGGTGAAATGAGCACCAAATTGATTATATGTGAAAAGAGCACCAAATTTATTTGTATATGAAATAAGAAAATAAATAATGTCATCACACAAAACAACATGAAGAACACAAAATTTAAAATTTGATATTATTTGCTTCACATGTTTTTGTTATGGTAATTTTTACTTTTTTTTTTACACATCTTTTATATACAAATCATTACTCCCATTAATTAGACTATTTAAGAATTGTCATTGAATTAATGAATATGAGTAGAGCTTATCACAGTTAAATAGATAAGTACCTAGAGTCATTGTCCCTAATAACGACACGAGAATTTTCACTTCTCTTG